GACTGTTTCTTTTATTTCCTCACAGACAATTAAATTTATCTTCTTCTGCAGATCCTTTTTCGAGAATGGCCAAATGTACTCTCTCTCTTGGCAGGTTTAATAGCCATCAAGACAATGATTATAACAGCAATAGGTCCCCGTGTTGGACTCACCTTGCAAGAAAGTGTCAGGATTGGATTGCTTCTGTCTCAAGGAGGTGAATTTGCATTTGTAGTATTCTCTCTAGCTAACAGGTCCGTCAAAATTTTATCAATGTGCTACCATGTTATAATAGCAGTCTAGAATACTTTCTGCTTAAAAATATGTACCTTCCTGAAAGCAGTCTGGGAGTGCTACCGCTGGAGCTTAACAAGCTGCTCATAATTGTGGTTGTGTTGTCAATGGCATTAACCCCATTGCTTAATGAAGTTGGAAGAAGAGCTGCTGAGTTCATTGAAAACAAGTTTTATGCAGAAGATGTATGTTCCTACTCTAAATTCTGCTGTTTGATATGTCTGCACTAGTATGGTTGCACTAAGTTTATTTTTTTGAATGTCTGCTAGTACATCTTGGATATAAATTTTACCAACTAGATGCTTAGATGCTCTAGAATTTTTAAAATCACCTGCATTAGTTTCTTCGTTTTTGACTCTCACTCTATGTAATGTTTTTTCTTCAATGCATGTTACTTCCTATTGATTAATTTATTGATTTTCCATAAACATCTCTGGTACTTCTGCTAATGTGCCTAAAGTTAAATCTGAAATATGCCAGAAAGCTGCTGAGATGGTGAACTTCAATGTTAGTGAACCTGTTGTAATTGTTGGATTTGGACAAATGGGCCAGGTACTTTAGTTATTCAGAAGAAAAATAGCAACTTTTTTCGTGGTTTCAAAGAGAAATATCATTTTGACTGCGCTGCAACTTAAACCGTCCTAATGTTGCCATTTTGTACATGCAGGTCTTGGCCAATTTCTTGTCCGCCCCATTGGCTTCTGGGATAGATGGCGACTTTGTAGGATGGCCTTATGTAGCTTTTGATTTGAATGTTTCTGTGGTCAAGGTCAGGAATATTTGAGTTTGATTCGAGCTATTGTCTTCCATAATCCAAAGTTAATTCTCCAAAAATATTCATAAATTGTTCAGCATCACGTTGTTTCATCAAACGTGATTAGGAATTAAGCTCAAAATCATTTTGAGCTTTCAAGAATTATGTTGATTTACACAATCAAGTAAAATCCAAATGTTATTAAATTTTTGTTGCTCACTTATGCCCTGATCCTTATAGATCTAAAGGTACGAAGTTATCAATATCTAAAATATGAGTCCAATTACAATTAGACAGTATATTGTAGCAGAACCTTCTGTTTTAGAAAAAGGTACATTGCATGGATATCTGTTTTTGTAGTATGGTTGAGTTTTCCCATTTCTATCAATGAGAATGTGAAAGCACCACCTCTTAAAACTGTGATTGTAAAGAGGATAGTATCTTTTTATCTGCTAATGCCTGATCATCTCCAGACTTTTTTGGCATTAAACCTTTGCATTTTCCCGAGTCATTCTTCTGTTTCTGTTTGTCTGTGCTAGGTTATAATGCTCGTCTTTTAATTTTTCACCATCATATTCACAGGCATCCAGGAAACTTGGTTTTCCAATCCTTTATGGGGATGGGTCACTCCCAGCGGTATTGCAATCTGCTGGTATCTCTTCCCCAAAGGCTTTCATGGTCATGTTTACAGAGAGAAAGAGGACAACTGAGGCTGTTCAAAGGCTTCGGCTTGCATTCCCTGCGGTAATTCTCTCACTCTGGGTGTGTGCAATAAGTCAATATGATATTGCTTCCTCATAAAATGCACTGAGAAGAAAAAAAGTAAAAAAGAATCAACTATCATAATAACCCTTCTCTCTCTACTGCCATCATAGGCTGCAACTTCTGTAAGAAGCGGATGAAGCTTTAATTTTTTTTTTTTTGGGCCTTCTTTTCATTTTTCAAGAGATACGGCATCATAAATTTTGTATTTGCATAAGGCTTCTTTGCCTGTGCCAAAATTTTTCAACTGCATTGCCCTGTTCATCTCAATGGAGCTAGGAGGCCACCAAGGTTCCATTTGGCATGACTGTGGAAAACGACTCTTGATTTTGAGTCATAATTCAAAATTTGTTTTCCACAAATTACTTGTGACAAAAATGAGATAAGTTAGAATTATGTTTGACAAAAATTGACTCAAAGCAACTTCTTTACTTTTTTTTTTTTTTTTTTTTTTTTTTTTTTTTTTACGCAAGGAGGTGGTATTACTTTCGATCAAAACAAATTTTTACTCAATTTTGTAACAAATTTTTTATTAAAGTCAAAAGTTATTTCTAATCAAACATATTTATGACTGTTCCTTGAGTCAAATTTTAAAAAACAACTCAAATCAATTTGCAAAAATCATATCAAACAGAACCTAAACATTTACTTATTGGTTCAGCTCTATTGCTTCTGTTTCATCCATGTTTTCTTTTCATTCTTTTTCATTTCACTCCTCTAATTATATGTTCCTTTTCCTGGTTGAATTGCTACTTTGGTGCATACTTGGCAGATACCAATTTATGCCAGAGCTCAAGATCTCTCCCATCTTTTAGAACTAAAGAAAGCAGGCTCAACAGATGCTATATTGGAAAATGCAGAAGTAAGAATAAATCATTTCCCTTTTGGTACTCACTTTCACTTCCAAAAGGGCTTCAATAATTTCCACTAATCAACCTAACTAAATATACCATATATTGATGCAGATGAGCTTACAGCTTGGCTCTAGACTTTTGAAAGACTTCGGTGTCATGTCTGATGATGTGAACTTCTTGAGCCAGCTTGTTCGAAACTCTATGGAGACACAAGCTCAAGAAGCACTCACCAAGAATGATGGTCGAGAATTTGATATTGAGAAACCATTGCAGGTAAATACATACAGACTATTGGATACCTTACAATTTGACTTGTCTGGTCACAGGCAAGGCAGGGTATGAGATATTCTATAAAATGTAGAAACAGGTTTGAATTAAAACTGCATTGCAATCTGTTTATTTCCAACTAGTGGCCTTCAATATAACAAAACATTGTGACAGTTCACTCTTTGTTTCATTCCTGATACTCTGTTTTTCTTTTCCTGACTTCCTGCTTTACCTAATCTTTCCATTCCTTTGGAGATGTTTCTATTTCTGAATCTTCAAAGTTTGTGAAGTTTTCTGTATAAATCCCATACTTGAACATTTCTTGGTGCCAAGGTCTGAAAATCTCGTGGTTCTGTAGAAGATATTCTTTAGATCTTGAGTTGCATTACATCTTACATGCATCATTCCTGTCATTCGAATTGCTTTTGCATACCATTTCCTTGATGCACTTCATGGAACAAATACTGAACTAACTCTTGATACTCTGAAGATAAGAGTTGGTGACGCAATTGGTTCCCAAGCACCCATTCCATCAACCTCATCTGGAGCCAAATCATTAAGTGCAAACCAGACAGATGAAAGTCATGTCTTGAGGTTTCAAAGGGAAGCAGGTCAAGCAGCACATGACAGTGAGCTCCAAGAACCAGAGGATGTGCAGGGAAAGGGTGTTTTATACTGCGAACTAGATGGATAAAATGGCTTTCCAGTTAGAACTGATGATGCTATGGTGGAGAAAAATATCTTAAGACTCATCAGCACCTTGCATGGCAACTGCTGAGGATCCTTAAAACTGTATGAGCTTTTTCACTCCTAAAGAGTATCTGTTCTTGTGGCCTCATTATATATCTTCAAATGTTTTTGAAAGTGATTATTTTTGTTGCCGAGACTAACTTCGGAGACGGAACAAGCTAAACGTAGTCAAAAGGGTAGCTGGATTGGTTGTGTTAATAGAACTCTCAAGGCTCCATACAAGGTTTCAGTTCTTGAAAACCACACCATGTATATTGTTGATATTGACAACTGATTAGCAATGAAAAATGTTCTCTGTTTAGATATATAAACATGTTGATTTCTATATACCTCTGAAGTTCTTATCTTCCTTATTTTATAATTTTGGCCTCAGCGAAACAAAAGTAATGCTCTGAGATTTTGTTAGAGAGTAATATAAAACTAATTCTGAAGTCACACCTAACAGTTTAAACTTTTGAATTGAGATGGTAATTTGACATGGTGTTAGAACCTTGCTAATCAAACGGTTAAGAACTTTCACTTGAAGGAATGCGTTAGAGAGTAATATTAAACCATTGATAGGGCTTCACCTATCTTCTTAAGTTTTTAGGTTGGGATTGTTTTTTAAGATTTTGACCATATGGAGCCTGGAGGACAGATTGCCTCGTGAGTTTTTGTGCTATTGCCATTCACCAATGCAATTTGGATACTATGGATTATGGAGTACCTTTGTGAACTATGCTAAAGGTTTCTCTAAATAATCCTCTATCATACCCAAATCAAACTGATAACACTTTTCTACTGTCAAGCTAGTCCTCATACAGTGTTGCATTCATATACTTGTTTGAGTTTCCAGGCCCACCCCACCACTACAAATAACTCAGGCGCCATCAAAACCAGAATGTCCAGCTTCCACACTCAAATTTCGTTTCCTTAGCACCTGTGCCGGGTCTTTAATAGAACATTTAAGTCTGATTCGGGTATGATAGGGAATTACCAGATGGAATGGGAGAATTTAATAACAATAACAGCAGCAGCAAATAGTTTGCAGATTCTCATATAATATATGTGCTAATGGATTATTTATTTATTTATTTATGTAGTATTTTGTATCTGCTGTCCAACTAATTAATTGGTAGTTTAAATTAAATTAAAAAGAAAAAATTACTTTGACTTGAAGTTAAGAGGTTGGTGTGGTGATGGCCTCTTGAAAAAAGGAAAGAGAGTAGTGATCGAAACCATCAATAAACGGCATAGAACTTCCAAAAGGGCTCATCAATTGATCAAGACGAGAGTAGACTTTCTTTTCCATGCAATTTTCACCATCATAACACTCCTGTGATCTCTAAATTCAACAAGAAATGGCAGACCTATTTTTATCCCCAGCCCTGCAGGTAATCTTTGATAGAATCACTTCTCCTTTCATAGAAGTGCTTGGTGGTATTTGGGGATTCGAGGACAACCTCAAAAGGAGAAAGCAATCTTTGTTAATGATTCAAGCTGCTCTTGAAGATGCAGAAGAGCAGCAAGTGACCCGAAAAGCTTTGAAGGCTTGGACTTGGTTGTCATCAAAGCTCAGGGATGCAGCTTATTGATTATCATACTGAGGACCTGCTAGAACATCTTACGGTGGAAGGCAAGCGGTATCCTGTTGGAATTTCAATGAATGGAGAGAAGGTTAGGAAGGCGCTTGAAACTTTGTAAATGACTGCAAATGAGGGACTTGGCTTGAGTTTGAGAGAGGATATTGTTATTAATAGCAAATATAATAGAAGAGAAGCTAGCTCTTTCGCTGTTGGAATGGAAGTTTATGGAAGAGAGGAAGATAGTACAGCAGTTATTATCTTCTGAAGCTACCCAAGAAGGATATCCAACGGTGATTCCAATAACTGGTATCGGAGGAATTGGCAAGTCAACTCTTGCGCAATTGGCATATAATGATGAGAGGATAACACAACACTTTGATGTTAAAATCCGGGTGTTTGTGTCTGAAAATTTTGATGCAAAAATGATCATGAGGACAGTTATAGAGTCTGCTACAAAGAAAATATGCAAATTCAAAGAGATGGATGCACTTCAGTCCAAGCTGTGGGGTATTCCGTGTCATCAGCAGAAATCTTGCTATCATCCAAGTTAGAAAGCAGAACATGAATGAAATCTTTCTCCTCCTCGTCGATGCTTCCACTGAGCCTGTTTCGTCGATGCTCCTTCACCCACTTCCAAACACACCATCTATCCCCCTTGCTGCCCTCTTCATTTTACCTACATACCAACCAAGAAATGGAACAGCATCTGAAACCAAGAATAACCCCAACAGATAGAGGAAATCTGCCAAAGCCTTTTGAAACTTCCTAGACTCCTCATCCCTATCTGTATCAGTACCAAAATATTGCTTCCCAGCTAGCATTCTTACCAGTATGTTGCGTGCCAAGTCCCCAAACTTCTCCTTCATTTCCAGCATTACAACTGGGGTTTGTTGCTCAGAAAGAGATACCTCATTGTGCTAGATAATGCTTGAAGTGAGGATCACGAGGAGTGGGACAAGCTAAGGCCATTGTTTAGAGGGGGACTTGCTGGAAGTAAGATCGCTATCACTACTCGTAATAAGAAGGTTGCGATGGTGATGGACTCCCCAATTTTCCCTTACCATGTCGCAGGTTTAGATGAAGATGATTGCTGGGCTTTGTTCAGACAATGGGCTTTTCGAAGAGGAGAAGAAGAGCAGTATCCAAATCTTTTGCCAATAGGAAAGCAGATTGCCAGAAAATTTGGAGGGCTGCCACTAGCTGCAAAAATTTTGGGAAGCTTGATGCGCTTCAAAAGAGAGGAAACGGAGTGGTTGTTAGTGGAAAATAGTGAACTTTGGAGTTTAATGTAAGCCATGGTGGAATTTTATCTTCTCTGATGCTAAGTTACTATCATCTACCAACACACCTCAAACATTGCTTCGCTTTCTGCTCAATATTTTCAAAAACTTATCAAATCAAGAAGGAGAACTACTTGAAGGATTTCTGCTAGGGGACAAACCACCAGAAGATATTGGCAATGAGTACTTGAAGGATTTGTTGTGGATGGGTTTCTTTCAAGATGCAGAAAAATCTGATGATGGGATGATATCATTCATGATCTTGCACGATATGTTGGAGGGAAAGAATTTATGATAGTGGAGCATGATCTTCTGCCACGTAGCCTGGTCCAAACTCCTCACTCGTCCGTTGTGGGTAAACTTGGATCATTTACAGCTCCAGGACACTCTTATTGATAGGGGTGGAAGGTTTGAAAGACATTCCCTGCAAACTGTTTTCAAGTTTCAAATACTTGCGTGTGCTTGATCTGAACAGTTGCGGCTTAGCAAGTCTGGATAAATCTACAGGTAACTTGCTTTGTCTGAAGTACCTTGACCTATCTCATACACTAATCAGAGATTTGCCACCAAGCATAGAGACTAGAGAGACTTCATCATTTGCAAACTTTGAACCTGTATGGTTGCATTGGTCTTGCACTATTGCCTGACTTGGCAACAATGGATGACTTAAACATCTTATCTTAAATGGATGCTTACGTGGCAGAAAGCATCCTTGAAGCCTTGCAACCTCACCAAAATCTTAAAAAGCTACTTATAGAAGGGTATAGTGGAACCAGATTTCCCCATTGGATGCTTCCAAATATAATTGTGGTCAATTTGACGAACCGTGGAAAATGTGAATGTCTTCCTGCATTTGGAACTCTTTTATTACTCTTTTAACTCCTTTTCTCTGTGGAATGGATGGGGTGAAATGCATCAGCAAGGAGTTTTCTGGTGAGGACATTCTTATAAATCTAATTACTATATTAATAATATATCATTATATTAATTATTAATATTATAATTTTAATATTGTATGTGTGTGTGTGTGTGTGTGTGTGTGTATTAATCTTTTCTTTTTTTCTTTTTTTTTTCATTTCGTCAGAAAAGTCTTTTTTTATGACCATTCCCAGCACTCGAAGAACTAACCTTGAGTGGCTTTCCAAATCTGGAGGAATGGTCAACTGCAAATGGTGGAGAAGCATTCTCTAAGTTAAGGAAATTGATTGTCGACGACTGTCCTAGTTGACCAATATGCCAACTTTTCAGTCTCCTCAACATTTGGAGCTGAGGGATTGTAACAAAACAATATTGTCCATAGGAAATCTTACTTGCATTTCAGGCCTTGCACTAGAAAGAATCCCAGAAGTTCTCTCTCTCTCAGGAAGCTTTCTCGCAGGAAATACCCTTCTTACATCTCTGAAGATCATCTCTAGTCCCAAACTTCGTATGCTTCCGTCAGAGTTAGGAAGCCTCCCTGCTCTTAAATCATTGACAATTCGCTGGTGTGAATAGCTCATCTCTTTGCCACAAAGTTTGCAGAACCTGAAACTTTAGAGTCCTTGGATATCAGTGAATGCCACAATATGAGCTCCATTTCAGAGAATTGGCTTGGAGGTTTAAATTCACTTCGAACTTTATCCACTGAGAACTGTAATAATCTGATTTCTCTATCAAAGCTTAAAGAATCTCACATCTCTTGAGCATTTAATTATCATGTATTGTCCAAGTCTTGGTTCATTGCCAGAGGGTGCAACAACTCTCTTCACAACATTGCATTGCCTGGAAATTCACAGTTGTCCAGGCCTGGCTGCTTCTCCAGAGTGGGTTGGAAACCTCGTTTCGCTCCGATCTTTGAAAGTCTCAGACTCTCATAATATGAAGTATTTGCCAGAGAGTCTGAAGCTTCTCGGTGCTCTCCAGCACCTATCCATTCAAGATTGTCCTGAGCTTGAGGCAATAACCAAATGAGAAAATGCAGAGGATTGGCCACAAATATCTCACATTCCACACAAACATTTACGACCGTGTAAATTCGAGAAGTCCACGGCAGAAAGCAGCTCTTCTGGGGTGAACTGAATTACTTTTCTTGCCTGATAGTTAACAACTTTGCTTCCATTGTAACTTGGTTAATATCATTTTAACGGATACATCTGTGTGTATTACTTATGTGAGTTAATATGAAACCATTCTCGTAGCTTCATCTAACAGCTTAATCTCTTTCACCAAGGAGTCAGGAGTTGAAATCCTATAGGTTGAGAAAACATGTGCAATTCACTCTAGGTTTTGTTACTCATATTTTGTTCCTCTGTTCGGGTGCTGGTTGGTGTTTTTCTCCAGCTTTTGTACTGAACTTTCTGTCTCAATTCCGTATTAGTACATCTCGTGATGCCAAAGTCTGAGATCGTCATTGTCACGGTGCCATAAAAATTCAGCCACGGTTGAATTTTCAAGCCTTGTGTGACATTGAGCTCCAAACTATGAGAGGAGCTGCAGGGAAAGGGTGTTTTATACTGTGCATTATATCCAGCAATCTGAACCTTGCATGTCAGAAAAAGATTGTGAGGAAACCTATTATCTACCTCCTCGGGATTGTTTTTCATTCTTTCCTGTTGACCCAAAAAGCAGTATAATGGTTTGACGATTATAAGTTTGTTTCTTATTAATAATATTATTCATCGAGCAAAGTACAACAATCCGTTGTAGTCTAGTTGGTTAGGATACTCGGCTCTCACCCGAGAGACCCGGGTTCAAGTCCCGGCAACGGAAGCCTTTCTCTAAAATTTTTTAACCTGACTTGAAATTTGGTCCTCAGATTATAAGATAACTCTCAGTTAGATTCTGATATATTAGTATCTATATCAATCGAGCCCTTTCCTCGAATTTTTGTACTCAATTTGAATTTCATGATTAATGTAAAAATAAAAACAATTTCATGCCTTATTATTTAATTTTTTTTCACTTAATTGAAATCATTGAATTCAAAATTAATAGTAATATATGAAATTTGACAGGTAATATGAAGATAAAAAATCGAATTTGGTGAGAATTGGTGTAGCTTCAAAGAAAAGAAAAGCATTAAGGTGGGGTCTAAGTTGGAAACTTGGAATGTAATTATTTGTGGATTCTTACCTAATATATATATATATAAACTTACCTTGTATGTGATTTTAGTTTGTACAATAAAAAAATTGTTTTAATTAAGTAAAAAAATAGCCAATTAATTATGAGATAGAAGGATTAAATGACATCTTCTCCTAACAAGTTGGATCTCGATTTTGTAAATTATAAGAATAAATAAAACTACATTTATTAATTTCTTGTCAAATAATATAGTTTTTGTTTGTTTGTTTTCTTTAATGATAACCATATTTTCGAATCATATGTAAAATTTACTATTTTTTTTTATCAGTTTCGAAACAGATGATTCGCAATAATTCATTCACAAGAAATTCATTTTCTTGGAGCCTTTTTTTATGTGTTAATTGTTTTACGAGCCATTAACGCATTTACTGAACTTTAAATTATATTTGTTATTTTTCTAGAAAAAAATAACTTTAATCTTAAAAAGGGAATACTTTTCCTTAAAATAAAAGAAAAGAAAAATCATTCTAGGCTCGAACAAGATCTGAATCCAAATCACTCAGCACTACTCCAAGCTACTCCATCAACAAAATCAACCAGATGCTTGGCAGAACCAATGATAGAGCTATCTATGCCTCGCATTCAGTTTTTCCTGACATATCCTAAAAAATGGGGATGGGCTTGAAGACACATATAAAACCCATGAAATGACAGGCCCAAACCACCCAAAACCTCAAGTCTCAAGTTTTGGTTAACCAAACCAGATTTCCTTTTTTTCTAGGGTTGAAAATATATCGTTGAGATTTTTTTCTGTGCAAAAAGATAAACAATCTAGAGTCCTAATTTACTGAATCCAGCCTCATGATAACTTTCAGTAAGATCCATACCATTTATGACGTGTCAGCATAAGAAGTGCAATCCTTTGTAAAAAAACCAAGGCACGTGAAAAAAAGACACAGAAGATACCAACTCAAACTCGAAAAAATCGAGGAATAATTAACGGATTCCAGATTCGTATTCGGTTTAAAACAAATCGTCTTATTTTTCTTATCAACTTGAAGCCAAATCCTTATCTATTGTTATGTATAAAAAAAAAAGGCAAGTTAATTTATTTGAAGCCCCTATCATCATAATCTACAAAAGAGAGAAAAACGACAGGAAAAAAAGGATTTTTTTAAGAGAGAGGGACACAGGGATTAAGCAAACTCTCTCTCTCTTTAACCACCATTCAAAAGAAAAACCATACTATCTACAGCACCTACTTCTTTATTTGTTTTTATTCTTTTTACACGAAAAAAGATTCGTGTTAAGGTATAGAAACATTGGCAGGGGACGTAATTTCTTTCAACTTTTAGGTTAATTGTTAATTCAGTCTGTTTCGTGCCTTAATCATCACTGGGAAAAAACTTGCGTTGCGTGGCATTCAGCTTCACTCAGATTTATTATATATTAGTTTTATGGCACAAGAACAAGAAGTCAAAGACGCAAAAGCATCATCTGAGGAAAAACCGAACATATCAACGGTGGTCATAGAGATGGCAAGAAGCTCTACTGCATTATCACCTCCTGCCCCTTCATGGTTCACTCCAAAAAGGTACCTTTTCTTTCATGGGTTTTGAACGCTGAGGCCTGAACCGGCATTTTTAGTTTCAGTTTTTGGTTACGGGTTGTGGGTTTTTCCTGGATATTTAGAATAAGATTACAAAATATCTTCTTTTTGGGTATATCTGTGCGTATTTTGGATGCATGAATGGATGGATATTTTGGGCTTTAAAGATTGATTTCGAGGTTGTTGTGGTAGTATCGGTTTTTTGGATTTTCAATTGGATTAAAGTTTTTCTAATTGTTAAGGTGATGCCTGTTTAAGCTTTCGTACATTATGAGGAAAATATTGGCAAATTATGCAATTCAATTTCAACTTTTTTTATTTATATGAAGTCTTGCTAAAATATGACACAGCTAATTTTATTTTTATTTTTTTTTACCCTTTTGTTTTAGTTATTGGATATGCTGATGTCCCAGTTATTCATAGTGAGGGACCTTGAACCCAAATAGGCTGCTGCTTTGGGACACTGCTATTTGCTCTTGTTTTCTTCACCTAATTTTGTGTGGTCGTTCCAAGATTGGGGGAAACTTTGTCTAGGATAAATTGCAAATTTTGTTATCTGAAGTTTTTTGCTTTCTAGTTGCTGCATTAGTCCTAATGAACTCTGTTATCTTGTGCTTACAGGCTGCTAGTTATCTTTTGTGTGATCAACTTGATCAATTATGTGGATAGAGGAGCAATTGCAAGCAATGGTGTCAATGGGAGTCGTGGAACCTGCTCAAAAAGCAGTACATGCTCATCCGGCAGTGGAATACAGTAAGATTTACTTGGATGCTTTCATCTGAGGCCCATTTTTTCTTTCTCTCTCTCTCTCTTTTTTTTTTTTTTTTTGGGTGATGGCTAGTGGCCACCATTTCCTTTCTTGTTTGTAGGGGAAGAAATGCTATTTTTTCTTATGGGCCAATCTTCCATTTTTAAATGTGCTCTCTAAAACAGAATGGGCATTGTAGTTTTATTTAAAATGTTAGTATTCCGTTATTATTTAATTCAATAAACAAAGTGGCTTTCCTTCCCCTCACAGTAAAGGTCCTTTAAGGTATCACATGTATAAGCATCTGATAACTATATTTGCATTTTGCATAGAATTATAAAGGTGAAAATATTAGTAACATGACAAGTGTGGCTGAATTTGTTCCTTATTTAACCTGTAAGGTGAAAATCTTTTACTCTAAGAAACCAGATTCTGAATAGGGTTCTTTCACTTCTGCTGTTAGGTGGCTGAGGTTCAAACTGGAACTTACTGTTGATGCGATATACATTGTATTTGTTCTTACTAATCTGGAACTTACTGTTGATGCGATATAGCAAACATAGCTACTGTATTACAGAAGAAGAAAATACATTCAGATTAATTTTAGTTCCTTGTTTTTCACAGGGGGGATTTTGACCTGAACAATTTTGAAGATGGAGTTTTATCCTCAGCTTTCATGGTTGGACTTCTCGTGGCTTGCCCAATATTTGCATCATTAGCAAAGAGGTAATGAGCTTCTAGTTCTTTCATCCTAACTTATGATGAATTGCTATTGTTGGAAGTAAAACATCCATAGATATGAAAAGAAATGGCCACTAAAGGTTGCTAAATGTCAAATGAAAACATGGTCAATTATTGGAGATGGTGACATTTAATGAAATGATGGCCATTAAATGATGTTCTTGAGTAAAATGCACCCATGGATAGGCTTTTGATTCTTAGATCCTGATGACAGGTCCTAAAATGGCAGTTAGGAAATGCCATCATCATACCTTGGGATGTACAAGTTAGGAATATTATCCCTATTGCTTTATGTTCATAAGCACCAATGCCTATAAGGCAACAATTATGCAATTTTTAAGCTTTCTCATTTAATAAAGGTGTTTTCCCTGGTAATTTTGTGTATGAGTCCAGAATGTTATGTAGATTTTGTGGAGTTGGATCAAGAAATATCACAATAAAAGCTTTTTGTCAGGTTGTAAGTGCATGTCTCATTTATTTATTTTGTTGCCGATGTGTGGGTTTGGTAAATTTTGTCTTGTCAAAAATATCTTTCTCGTAAATTGAAGGATCTCCCAACAGTAATTCCTTAAGAAGTAGATATGCATAAAACACACAAAAATAAGTTCCTCTAGGGCTTCAATGGGACTGGAACTATCATTTGTGGCGTCAAAGTCCAGTTTAGCTTTTTGCAGTCAAGCAGGTCGTGTGGTTAGTTCAGTTGTATTGTTTCTTTATATGCTGTTATGGAGAAAGTTTTTTGCATCTATGCATTGTTGTTGCACTGGCATTCAGACAGAAGTAAAGTAAAGAATATTTGACTTCTTTTTCTCCTTTATAATTTTTGGCATAGAAGTTGAAATCCACTTTTTGATTGAAGCCTTATGCATTTATGAAAAATTTGCAGCGTGAATCCATTTAGGCTCATTGGAGTTGGATTATCAGTTTGGACACTTGCAGTAGTTGGATGTGGTTGTTCAATTAATTTCTGGACCATTACAGCCTGCCGCATGTAAGTGCATTATATTGTGTTCTTGTTCATATTGTTTCACTAAACAGTTAAGCAAAGCAAACTTCTATTTTTGTTTTGTTCTTTTGTTGGGATAGAATGTTTTTGCATATTTCAGTAATAAGTTATTTTATGATGCACACTAGTTCTGATGTTTTCTTGATTTTTCTAGGCTAGTTGGCGTTGGAGAGGCTTCATTCATGAGTCTTGCAGCTCCGTTTATCGATGATAATGCCCCTGTTGCTAAGGTTTTGTTTCTTTCCATTTGATCATGCCAAATTTGTTTCTGGTGTTTATGTTTTATTTGTATTAAATTTTTATTAACTTCTTCTGTGGAATTGTTCTTAAATGTGTGAGTTGGGATCTGTTACACACATATGCTGGAAACCATGTGACTTTGTTAGTGTTGACATGTCTTCTAATTTAGTTAGACAGAAGCAAGAAGTCTGTGCACTATTGTAGGTCCACTTATAAAATATGTTTTTTTTTTCCGATGACTCCTGTTATAGTTGAAATTAACTAAATTAAGTTGTACAAAAATTAATTGTGTGCATAAGAAGTAAATGGAATACCTTAAGTTTATTAGACATGAGGCGGTGAAGTTAGGTCACTTGTGGCAAAGGACATGTCAAAAGCAGTACTTTGAGTTTTTCTTTAATTGTTGTTTTTACATGGGTACAAAATTATTTGTTAAATTATGTATTCTATGTTGATAGATTATTTGGTTATTAAATCTTTACAATTAGGACCTTAAAAAAAATACCAATGCATATTTTATGGACATTAAATAATTTTTAAATTATGTATGTTAACTTTAGGCCCCTTTACATTTTGTGGGAGGTAGTTGAGTAATGAATTGTGATAAAAAAAAAAAGTTTTTAGTTTGAACTTTTTTTTTTTGTATTTAACAAGTACAAAAGTCAAATGAATTGAAATGAAGTTTGACGATTTGATTTTGTACAAAAGGATGAAATGGATAGACATCAAATTGATCAATCATAAATTCCAAATTGATAGCATCAAGAGTTTTTTTTTTTTAGTCACTTGTACTTTAGGAGAACTATTTAAAAAAAAAAATTGGGATAATTACCAAAAAAACCCTCTAAAAAAATTTTATATTCAAATAACTCATCAATTTATTTTTAAATCTCGTAAATCCAAAACAATATTTTTCTTACCAAAACACTCAATAGTTAACCTCCAATATAACACTAGTTAACTATTAGGTCTTTTGCCAAGATAATTTTTTAATTTTTAGGTTTGAGAGATTTAAAAAATAAATTGATGGATTTTTTAGATAGAAAAATTTTAAACACTAACATTCAACTGTTTTTTTTTTTATTATTATACTAAAAAATTTCTTATATTAGAGTTTTTTTTTCTATCAACCGTTTGTTTCATTAATTACGAGATTAATTTTACTTGTCTAGTAATTATAGCAATCAATGCAATTTAACTAATTAATATTGATGAAATGAGACTTTTGTTATTCTCTTATAATTTAATCAAAAGGTTATCATATAAATAAGAAAAATAAGAATATGTATGATTATAAACATTAGTGATTTCTTAAATCCTAATATATTGATAAAAAAAAAAGTATCATCGGTAATACTAGTTTTTAATTAATCAAAACTCAACATTTTTTATTAAACAATTAAATTAAATTATAAGATGAATGTATAACATATTTTGGTGCATTAATTAAATAAAACATGATCATCCATAATAGAAATACATATCTTGAAAGATAATGGTTTTATTTAAACTAGTGATAATTACCAAAATACCTTCTAAAAAATCTTCTATCTAAAAAATTCACTATTTTATTTTTAAATCTCCCAAACACAAAATAATATTTTTAAATCTCACAAACCTAAAACACCTATTGGTTGTTTTGGTAAGAAAAATATTGTTAACTATTTGTTGTTTTTGTAAGAAAAATATTATTTTGGGTTTAGGAGATTTAAAAATAAATTTGTGGGTTTTTTAGATATAAGATTTTTTTTATAAGGTTTTTCTGGTAATTATCCCCAAAAAATTATTATTTGGTCCTAATATTTTTTTCCAAATTTTTTTACTCTTATATTTTTTCACTAAAACGATATTTTATTCAATATTCATTATTAATTATAAGTTTCATCTTACTTGTGATATATCTTTCAGCATTTTACTGTATCAAATTAAAATCCAAACTCAAAATAATGAGTCTAATACATTTGAATTGTAAAATAGAAATTCAATATGACTTCTTGTGCGTCAAAAAAGAACTAAATTGAAATAAATAATTTTTTATAAGGTTTTATTAGGAAAATAATGATTAAAAATAATTTTAGAAAACTAGAAAAAAATGAGGAAAAAAAAAAAGGAATTGCCAGCCCACCAAATCCTTGTGCTTAAATACCTGAAAAGTACTCTAGCAACCTTTAAGAATCCATTTTCATCTGCAAAACACATTTCAGCTCACCTAAAAACTATAAAAAACCAGATCAAATTAAAAATACAATTATGTTTCCGGCTTCTGAATTTTTTTTTTTTTTTTTTTTATCAAATTGGAACTTGACACTGCTGTCAATTAGAGTGAAACATAAAAGAAACAAAAAATATTGGGACTGAAATGAAAATAATACCAAAAACTAACATTTAAATGCTCTCAGAAGGTTGAAAATTTACAAAAAGCCCACCTACCTACAAGATTGCAACAGTGAAAGCGGGTTTTGTATAGTGTTATGTATAATTATATTTCTTTTTTGTGCTCTTATATTTCATCAACTTCCATCTGCTCTAACTCTTTGTCTTACACCCTGCTTTTGTGCCAGAAAACCTTATGGCTTGGAGTATTTTACATGTGTATACCAACTGGATATGCTCTTGGCTATGTATATGGTGGAGTGGTAAGCTTATTAAATAATGGTTAAGGTCCTTTTTGTCAAAGAAAATCTCACTTACATATGCAGAATGGAATTGTAATTACTGTCTGGGAAGGACCAGCTCTTAGTAGTTTACATTAAAAATTATTTTTTAATTCTTAAATAGGTTGGTGGTCATTTCAATTGGCGCTTCGCTTTCTTTGGAGAGGCGATTTTGATGCTTCCATTTGCTGTTTTAGGTTTTATTATGAAACCTTTGCAGTTGAAAGGTGAAAGTTTGTTACATCTTGGGTTTTTCAGCTAAAGACAATTCCAGCTGTTCCTAAACAATTATTGATACAGGTTTTGCTCCTGCTGAATCTAAAAAGCGCAGACATCCATAGAGACTGCTGCCTTGGAAGTTGAAGGTGCTGTGTAATAATATGGAATCTCATTATTTTGTATAACCTATTTGTTCTCTGATGTTGAATAGATGAATGAAAAAGTCAAATTTTGAAGAGAAGCCATCTCATCTGATCGCTTCCACTTGATTCCTTAAAATCTCATGGGAAAATAATGAACTCTAAAGATATAAAATCGAATGAGGTTTCTGAATGCTTGCTCAAAGTCATAGCTAGACAATCATGGATTCGGAAAGGAACAACAGAATAGATGAAAATCTCTATAGGATGATGGATTCAAAAAGGAATAATAGGATGGATGAAAATTTCTAAGTTATCTCCTTAGGCACCCAAGTACTGGCATATGCTTGCCTATTTAAAGTTGCATAGCAGAAGTGCATGTGGACTGATTTATCATCTATTGCTTTTCAAAGGCCTTTTTCTTTTTGGGGCTTTTTTTTTTTTTATTTACTACAGTCAACTTACTATTTCAAATTTGAATCTGTGTTCTGTTATTTAGTTTCTTATAAATAAAAGTTTTTTTTTCCTCGTATTCTATTGACTGGGTTTACATGCTGAATGCATCAGATGCAGACGTTTCTGTTGTCAAAGGCTCAATGAAATCTTCCAAGTGAGCTTAATTTTCCTTAGCCCATAACATGTGTTGCATAGATTGCATACTGTAATAGATATATTGCTATCTTTTCAATTTAGATTTGGTTATACATCATTATGGGTGTGCGCACACGTGCACAGAGTTGAGATGTGTTGGTGATTTATTGGATTTAAATTTGATGCAGGTCAAAATGTGCATTCATTGATTTGAAGCAATTCTCAAGATTTATAAAAGACTTGAAAGTGCTTTTGCTTGATAAGGTTTATGTAGTGAATGTTCTAGGTATTCTTTCTCACACTGCTTTATGTTAACCATCAACTTTTCAGCTTGTCTTTTCTTTACGCAGACCACAATATCGAGGTTAAAACTAATTTTTTGTGCTCCTAATTGTCTTTTTCTGGTCTTATTTAGTTCAATGTTTGCCTTGATTGTCAAACTCCAGCTAGTTTCTGGAAAAGTTGCTCGTTATGAGCGTTATCCAGGACATCTGCAATTTTACTGTCTCTGAAGTCGTGCTGCTTTGCTGAATATCTGTAAACTAATATCCTGAAAAGAACCTGAATTTTTTTTTTAGGTTACGTAGCGTACAATTTCGTCATTGGTGCATATTCATATTGGGGGCCTAAAGCAGGTTATAACATTTATAACATGGTAAGCTTCAGCTTTGATTTGGCAATGACAGTTAAGTATAAAAGCAATGATTTCCTTCAATCTTGAAATACATTCATAGTAAAAGTGAAAGCTTTTGAAACTAAACTATCACAAAAAGTTGAGAGTGAGAGTTTGTTATGTATATATTCTATCTGAAATCATGGTCTTTTCGCAGAGCAATGCAGATATGATATTTGGAGGGATTACCATAGTCTGTGGTATAGTCGGCACAATAGCAGGGGGTTGTGTTCTGGATTTCATTAATTCCACAATTTCCAATGCTTTTAAGGTACGTAATCGTGCATATAGAAGGAATGTTCTAAGATGAGTTTTAGTGCCTTGCGCAATTTTTTTTACAACTTTGAGCTGCTATACTGACAAGTATGGAATATCCACTATTTTTTCTTATTTAATTGCTACATGTTGTTGATCTCTCTCTCTCTCTCTAGTGAACTCCTCTTCTCAACTAACCCTCCTGTTTATGTACTTAATCTGAGCCGTCAACTGGCGCATTGTATGGCTTGTCACTGCATTACAGTTTTAACTAGTAAGCCAAGATTTTTGGTTTCAGAAACATACGCTTTCACTGGCACTTGTTTAGTTGTAATTTGACTATACCATAATTTCTGCTATTTCAAATACTCACAAGAAGAGTGACTGTATCAAAAGGTTAGATTCAATGGCTTTTTGCATCAAATGGTACCCACTTTTATAATTTGGTATTAATGTGATGCGGCATTTTCAAAATAGCTTTAGGCTATTTGAATATGTCTGGCCTTGAATTAGCTTTTGTCTCTAAAATTGTTGTACTCTCCTTTTTTGTCTCTAAAGTTCTTGAACTCGTTGCAGCTTCTTTCAGCAGTTACATTTTTTGGGGCAATATTTTGCTTCAGTGCCTTCTGTTTTAAGAGCATGTATGCCTTCCTTGCTTTTTTCGCTATTGGTGAATTACTAGTCTTTGCAACCCAGGTATTAAATTTTCTATTAAATCTGTTACACCTTTAGCATTTATCACCCGTGTCTTTCAGTGTACTAAATATTTGTTTTTATTTCCAGGCTCCTGTAAATTACGTATGTCTTCATTGTGTTAAACCAAGTTTGAGACCACTATCTATGGCTATGTCCACCGTTGCAATTCACATACTTGGAGATGTGCCTTCCTCTCCACTTGTTGGTGTTCTCCAGGTTTGGCTTACTAGCTTCAATAGCATGCCGTTACTCTTTTTTTTTTTTTTTTCTCCTTTCCTTTGAACACCCTTTGCTTTTTTTTCTTTTTCTTTTTTTAAACAACGTGCCTTTGCTGAACTGATATTTTTTGTTCAGAAAAGATTAACACACATCTGCTTTTCTCCAAAGAAGAGAAAATACAAAAAACACTTGCATCATTTTCATGAATCTTAAGGAAAGAAGGGAGCATAATCTCATTTCTTTCCTGTGAGCATATTTTTCAAACTACAGAATAATTCAATAACAGAAAAATGCAAATGACGATAGCTAAATATTAGTGAATAGGATTTATATCACTGCAGCATTCTGAATACATTTGGCAGAATGTCATGCAGACCTAAAAAGGTCACAGGTGGATTTTGTGTGGAGTGGATCTTCTTTTCAAAGAATGAATTTTGAAGAGTATGTTGCCTTTATAAATTGGATCTGTGAGGCTGTTTTATTTTGGAACTACACAGAGAGAGTTCTTTTGAATTTTGGGGTTATCCAACTATCACAGTATCACCTGATGATTCCAGCTTATGCTTTCCCCGAATCAACCGATTAAGTTTATGCATTTGCATTTTTAAGACTAGATTGATATTTTTCTCTTTTCTTGGATAGGCAATGAGTTTAGTTCTTTTATGCATCCATAGGCAATGGTTTTAGTTCCTCAACTGTGGAAATATGTTTCAGGATCATATTAACAACTGGAGGAAGACTGCTCTTATTCTGACATTGATTTTGTTTCCAGCAGCTGTGATATGGTTTATAGGTAAATTCTCATAGTTATTCCTCAGTAGTGTATCGGAATTATATTAATTCATCATTTTTCCTACATCAGGTATATTTCTGCACAGTGTGGATAGATTTAATGAAGAAAGTGAACATCCTCAAGTGACTACAGCAGACAGATCTAATACAACGCCTTTGCTTGATGGGAAAGCAGCAGGAACAACAGAAAGTTCGGCAGAACCATGAAGTTTTCACAGCAATTGTATATAGTATTCTTTTGTTTTCTGCACAATTTTTGGGCCTTTCCACGCTCAAACCTAAGTTTTTCTTGTGTATATAATCTTCCTACTGCGGATTGGAATTGATTATCAGCTACATTTTGTCATGCGTTTTGCCTTTGATAAATTTGTCCAAGTTATTTCCATAATATTTAAGTAAATGCCTACAAATAATCCTGTGACATTAATCCAAGAACTAGGATTTATGTACACGCCAAAATTCTTACAAATTCAAGTGTAATGTCAGTGTGTCATGTCATTCAAAGCAACGTCATGTCAAGGTGTTGTACATACCCAATGGGTATTAACCATGATTGAATGATGTAAGATTTGGTTTTTTTTTTTTTATTAACTATTTTACCAACTGATATGTTAATCTAATGATAGATACAATATAATCCAGTAACGGTAACTATTACATTAGTAGTAGTAAGATCAATATTTCGATGATTTGAAAAACTTTGAAATGATTACAGATTTTAGTTGAGGCAAAACGAGTACTCCTAGCATTACTCCTAACTCTTCAAGATGGCACGCCAATGCCTTGTCGACGATCCGCGTCCAAAAAGTCAAAATCCACGTGCTTTCTCATGCTCAACCATTTCTCCATAGGATCAGAGAATCCTTGGGATAAGCTTGGCCCAGATCACCTGCATAAATCCCACAGGAGGAAATGGATAATCATAGCAACATTTATTACCGAAAGAAAAATCTTAGCAACTTCGGTCTTGCTGGGAAACAAACGTGGAAAATACAGTTGTCGTTTTTTTTAAAAAAATGCATATTTTTGGTTGATTGTTTTCATTTAAGGCCCACAGTTTTTCTTTGCCTGTTTTAGACAAACCCACCCTGTGCTGTTCTATATAAGCCTTTCACTATACTAGCTTTTTCGTCTGCATTTGCTTTTCATCATGGCTCCTACTGCTTCGATGCTCTTAATTCCATACCATTACAAATCTATGTCTCCACCATCTCCTCCTACTTCAACACCCTCAGCTACTTCTTTTTCGGGGCTAAGTTCTCTGCAACGAAATGGGTTCAACAAGACAATCCAATCTTCAAAGTGAGGTCTCAGGGCAAAGAGTCTTTCAAGGCAGATCCTTCTTCACCTGCTAATGATTCTGACAAGGAAAAGAGGTTTGAAGAAGCGCTTGAGCGTAGCTGCTGGTGCTAGAATGGCTGCATGGTTTTGCAGTTCTCTCTTTTCCAGTTTCCTTCATTGTTTTCGACAATTGTAATTAAGTATGGTTTGGGGTGGTTGGGTGGCAAAAGGTTCCAATATGTAATGCCAGGAATCATGTAATGACAACTACTGAATGGATTTTTCTTTGATCAAATGGGAGACTCAGAAAGGACTTGTTAGTTTCGATTATAAGTTGGGTCCTGATCAATTCTGGATAGGGTCGATTAAAAATTAACAAACAAGCACATCCATTAAGGTTACAGTCAGTGTGATGGTTTTTAAAATTATTCATGGTAGATGGAGCCTTGATGAATCTCCAGTCCCTTGACTCCTTGTGCATTGAAAAGTTTCACCTACCTACCTCATCGGTTTCGAATTCGAACTCTCCAAATAGTGAATGGACGCATATTATGGCTGATACAATTCCATGGCCAATCCTAAACTTAGCCCATCCTGTATATTGAGAGTTACCATTCATTCACCTCCATGAAAACGAAAGGGACGCTTAATGGGCACTGTTTAATCTGTTTTTATATTTTTAATTAAACCAATTGTATATCTGTAAAATAAGTTTGAAAATATTGATGTGTTGAGATAGTGACAGTCTCTTTTTTTTTTAATGAGAAAATAATTAAACAAAAGGATAGAAAAATTATAAAAGAAAAAAGGTTTCAAAAATTGGAAAAAAAAAAAAAAGATAAACAAATCAAAGGAGTAATATATATATATATATATATGGGACTTACTTTTGCTATGTGTTAGTTGATGTCATCCGCATCACTATTTAGTATTTTCAAAACTCACGTGAGGGTGAACTGAAATAGAAAAAATAAAATAAAAAAAATTAGACAATGAAATAAATAAAATAAAAGATTAGACACTCAAACATGATTAAAATAACAGGTTGGGCAACTCAAATTTGTAGTTTTCTCTAACAAAAATACCCCTTTCTTGAGAATTTCAAATCCCACTTGATGAAGGAAGACAAATTGTTATGTGGTGTTAAAATTCCTTCTTCTTTTTTTATGGTTATTTTCTTAAAACAAATTAGGTTGGGTTTGAGATTCTCACTAGTAAATTATAAATTAATCCACCTAGTTTTGCAAAAATAATTAAATAGTCCTTCTTATTTTAGACACTAATTAATTAGTTCCTTGATTAATGTTGACTATGGTTCATTTTATATTTTTTATTTCAAAAAATATCTTCTTTTCTTGCTAATTTTTTTTCATATTTTTTACTCTCTTTTTTTTTCTTTTTCTATTTTTTAAATAAAATAAATTGAAAAAAAAAAGATTAAGTTATAAACAGATTTAAAAATATAAAAACTAATTAACTTTTTTTTAAAAAAAAAACTGTTTAATTCATTTTGCAAAACTGAAGAGATTGGTCTATGATTAACTCAATTTTTCATATGATAGTACTTTCTTCAATTTGAAAGATGATATCTAATAAAAAGACAGATTAGAAAATGACACTATATTCAAAAACAAATATAGAGCAATTTAATTTTGACTAAAAAGGTCTAACCACCTTTGATCTTTAAATTATTTGAGATTAGTCTCGAAATTTATTTATTAGTTCTAGAGATCACTTAACTTTACAATTTTTGAAATTAAATCCATCCAATTTTTTTTCATCAGGCATAATGAAGGATGTGCATGTGAAAATATAAATCACACGTGTTAAACAAAAAATGATATGGCACTTTTTCATTTTTTTTTATGAAACCTAACCCATATTAACTAATTATGAATTAATATCTAATTTCAAAATTAACTACATTAATTAACTTGCTCAAAATAAATAAATTCAATTACGAATTTGATTGAAAAGAAATGAAAGGGCACTAAAAGAAAATAGCAAATACAAGTAAAATAGGAGACCAAAATGAAGTATGGCACCCGTCCGTGACACCTTATTTATAAAATCCCTTCCTCCTCAAAAAATCTATCTAACCGAACTGTCATCATCCACATTCATCGAAACACCTGTAGAATATAAGAAAGAAATTTTATAATATTTAAAGAATAACTATTATATCTGTATAGCAATTCAATAATTACTCAATAAGTTAATTTTTCATGAGAAGATAAACACAAAAAGAGGAAAGAAAATTTTTAAAAAAAATGAGCAACCGTGAAATCATAATTGGATCCATAAAAAAAATTAAAAAAAATTTTTTTTTTATTTTTTTCTCTTTGTGTCTATCTATTTTCTAAAAAATAAGCTTATAAAGTAATTATTGTATCTGTAGAATAATTATTTTTTGAGTATTATTCACCGCTGGCCTTTATCACGCCAACACTAGTTGAAACCCATCGTCAACCACCAGCATGCCACAACATCACGCTAGTTGTCGCTCCCCTCTCTCTCCCACTGTCAACAAACACCAGCCACATTGCCGATCTCCTCAAAAGCTAGCCACCTCAACGATCTCCCTACCATTGTCAGCCACCTCGTCGATATCCCCAAAAGCCAGCCACCTTGCTGATCTTTCTCAAACCCACGTTGCAACCAAACTACACCAAAACCTCACTGTCAACAACCGCAGCCAAGAAATTGAATTTATTCAAATAAAAAAATTACTTTTTCAAATAATATTTTAAAATCCAACACTCAAATGAACCCATGGTGCATATACAAAACCAATTCATTGTTAAGCATGTCACTAATCTCGGAAGTTAAATTCTTAATTTTTGTCGATATCAGTTGATGGTGAGGTAACGACAACGAAAGAGCGAATAAACATATGAAAAGAGTCTCAGCATGACATGTGAATATATAAAAGATGAAAAAAAATGATTAGATGAAGATAAAAAAAAAAAAAAGGGAGAAAGCGTGACAGACGAATGGATGAAGGATGAAAAAAAAGCTGAAAATAAAAAATGAAAGAGCTTCGCATATCAAGAGAGAGGTTGAGAGAATAGTGAGTTTTGTGGGTGAATTAATGCAATTAATTATGAAATTAGATATTAATTCATAATTAGTTATGGTGGGTTAGGATTTCATCAAAAAAAATTAAAATGTGCCAGACATCCTTCCGTATTTTTAGTTTGACACGTGTGTTTTATATTTTAACCTTCAAATCCTCTATTATCTCTAACGTAAAAAAAAAAAAACCTAATTTTAAAAATTGTAAAATCCAAAGATCTTCAAAACCAATAAAAAGTTACAAGACTTAATCTCCAATGACCTAAAGTTTAAGAATGATTAGACCTTCTTAGCCTTAATTTTTTAAAAACAGATTGTAAACTAAAACTATAAGAATAAGTTAAGAGAATTATACTCTAACCTTATGTTATTTTCAGCATAATATTAAGTTACGCTATATGCAATATTAAGTAATGTACATATCACGAGATTGATTCTAATGTGACCGATTCTAATAGTTTAGTTAGAAAATATAACCAAAAAGACAAATTAAAAACCCACTTATTTTCCTCAAACATAATTAGTTCAATTAAAGATTATAAAAACATAATGTCCAATAAGTCTATTATATAATATAAAGACATGTCAGGCCATTTCCCCACCATTATTTTATGCAGGAAAAGTTATGTTTAGTCTTGGCTATTTCAAAATCGAAGGGAAATGAAGTGAGCGTATGCAAACATCCATCTTTTATGAGCCTGGCCATAATAAAAGGAATGCAAGCGTTTTTCTCTGGTTATAAAGCCTCGACTCTTTCCATCCTGCATAAGTACTAGAAATGTAGTCTAAATTTTACAAAGAAAATACAAAAAAAAAAAAAAATTGCATAGGAACAAAGGATTATTCAAACTCATTAATGAGGAAAAAATGTTTTGATATCATCAATGTATAAGACAACGTGGGGCTTGTTTGCCAGAAGGTAAAATTCTGGCAAGTAAAGCCAAAAACAGTACTACTTCCAGCTCCATCTCAGTAATAATACTTTCAGCTCCGACTATAGTTGGGCAGTGGCCTTTATACAAGAGAAAGCTCTCCAGCAGGAATCGATCTCTTGACAAGTTTAGCCCAAGATTCATTGGTCTCAATGATGACCTTGAGAGCATAGTCCTATACATCGCATGGAAACCATTAGCCAGAGAAGACATCGAAGATTATAGAATAGAACAAATGGCAACAAACATGATCCCAAGGAAGGATAAAGCTAAGGCATCTTGTACTACATTATTATACCAAATTGGAACCTGCTATTAGAGGATCAGAACAGAGCAAGGATAGTAATCAATTTATTCAATCATATCCATCAATGACAATGCTGTCCATGTTGTTCTGCCCCAAGACACGAAGGCCCTAACTAAAGTAACTGTCATTGAGGATAGAATTGATATCCGTGTATTGTTAAAGAAATATGGTTCGATTCATTTATCAGCTTGTGAGGTTTAAATGTGCTCATAATGCAATGGCGTCTTAGATAACTTGGGGGGGATGAGGCAAAATTAACACTCCACAAAGCTGTAAAGGTTCTATTTGAGAATAAATAAATAAATTACCTTGCTTGCTGCCTTGTTGCCAAGACCAAAATTGTTGGCAGGTTTCCCATCAGGGATCTTATAGTCTCTGAACCAGTCCCTGATTGCAGTGAGAGTACCCTGAAGATAACCACCAGACAATTAGACCTTGTATTTCAATTCATAACACACTCTCATTTCCAAATAAAAAAAAAAGACTCTGCTATTTTCCATCTTGATATTATCAACAGAATTCCTACAATCAATGCCCTTGCTTGTTCTAGGAGAAAATCTAACAAAAAAGTACCTTCATCCCACCTTAACTTCCCCAAAATCCAAACCATTAATAGTCTCATACAATGTTAGCAAAATCAGATGATGATACATAACTGACATCTTTGATGAGTTCCACATCACTCAGCACTCCAGATATTTTCACACATTTGAGCACTTAGTACAATTGCTTAGCGCATTAATTCTTACACCACTTTAAGCATTTCCCTACGTTAAGCTGATAAAGAGAAGGGACAAATAGACCCTTTTCTTTTATGAATACAATCTAACCATTTAATAGCAAATTCTTTGAAATTAAGAACTCTTAAAAAAAAAAAAATAGACCATCCTAATCCAACCAATATGCATTTGGAGAAATTATTAACTAATGAAAGATATTTCTGGTAGCTGGTAAAAGAACAATTACATTTCATGTAAAGGATTTTACAAAATCGTCAAGTGATTGTGGTGGGCTATTGCAAGGCCACTTGGCAATAGAAGAGGACTTACGGGGAAATGTTTCTCTACATCATCAACATCATTTACAAGAGATGCCCGTGGATCATCCAAAGAGATCGCAACAATTTTCCAGTCAAGTTCCCCTTCATCAATCATGGCCAAAGCACCCAAGGGCTTGACTTTGAGAATTTCACCAATCTTTCCCCGTCTCTCACCAATCTCAACAACATCAACTACAAACAGAAGACAACGATTTACAAAATTGATATGCCACTTAATTGGACCAAGCAAATGCTAGAATCTGCAAGGAAAGCAAATATCAAAACAGAACGTATACCAGGATCATTATCTCCGAATGCTCCTTCAACTTCTGCATTTGCAAAAGAAGGGTCTTCCCATGTTTGTGGAAGCAATCCATAGTTCCAGTTTATGTTGTAGCTGAAAATAAGGCACAGAAAAGAGTTAAAAGCCAATGTGCCATACTCGGGTGATAAAATAACCTGGGCAGATGCAACTTAATGTTTAACTACAATGGGCTAACACTAAAAGTGCAAGTGCTGAGAACGAATTGAAGTATCTGTATGAAACCTGTGAATGAATCATAAAGGAAGCAAAAAGCAAATCTTACGGATAGTATCTTAGTTTCCCCTTTTTGGTATCTTGCTTAATGGGAGTGAATTGCTCATCAGTAGCAACCTCCATCTTTGCACTTGATTCTTTTGGAATTTCAACAACAAAGTTGAAAGCCCCATCTCCCAAGTGCAACGGTATGTCATGCCAGGGTGAAACCTATAATAACAAACAACACGTACATTACCAATAAGCAGATACAAAAAAAAACTAAAGAGCGTTGTTCTAATTGTTGAAGAAAATCCAAATCATAGGTGGACTCCACCGGAACAGCATGTCAGTTCTCTTAATGGACTAAACTAACAGATGACCTAGTCTCCGGCATTTGGAAAACATGTCGTCTGTAACGCAAAATGGGATATACAGAATCTCATCTTCACTATAAAAACCTTATCTTCCAATTTTCAAATTCAGATTGCCGGAACTAAAATCAAGCATCAAGAACTCAAATTTTTATAACATAAAAATACCAAAATCTCATATTAATTCTTACAAGCAAAACTCAACTATCAAAAGAACAATGCATTCTTATTTTCCCTAAAAAAAAATATAACTTTATAAGCACAAATAACACTGAAATCATCATCATTTGACCCGGGAATTTGTTTTCTAAAGGTTTTTCTTCTGGGTTTGACAAATTACTTTCATTCCTCAGATTTTATAGCCAAACAAAACAGAGAGCATAAAAAAGAGACTTTGTAATAGATAGAGAAGTGAAAGTTATAACCTTTTTGCCAGAATTGTCAAGAAAGTAGACACGGTAATCAAGGGTCTCAGGCTGGCCTTCTTCCTTGGTTAGAACATCAGGATTGTAAATAGACTTGCAAGAAAACAACCTCTTTGAAACTCTTTTGGTGGTGGTGTTGAAGCAAAGGTTGTTAAAGTTTGGAACTTTTTGATTTAAACTGAAGAATGGTCTTTTAAGAAGCAAGCAGTATGCTGTCGTGTTGGTTGCAGCTGACATCACTCTTGCAGTCGCCATTTTTGCTAGATTCACTGATAGTACCCTTTTCTGGTTAAATTCACTGAGAGAGCACTTCTTGTGACTTGAGGGAGTCAAGCTTAAAAAGTGGGGATTTTTTTAAGTTTTTGAGCCACATGGAAGAGAACAAGTTGTTTGGTCTTGATAGGCTCATGGGCTGTATCTTTCACTCTTTAGTCCTTTTTTTCTTTAGTTTTTTATTGTTAGGTTTAAGATTTCTAGTTTCCACCACCTTGGACGGGTTACTGTAATTGTTTCGTCTTTGCCTGGATCTCAGCTAGAGGGAATCCTGTCATTCCTCCATTCATTACCTCTTGGTCTAATCCGGGTAAACACCCATCAATTATATACCGTCTTTATTTTTTTTTTTAGCTAAATTGTAAAATACTCTAGAACTTGAGAAAGATATATTTCTGAATTAAAAAAATCTTGATTTTATCCTCTAAATAATATGGTTTTTTAATTTGTCTCTTTTTTAAAAAGATTTTATTGAAAAAAGCCTTAAAAGTTTTCTTAATTCCTCTCTTTTCACTATTAATAAACATATTTTTTAAGTTGATATAAAAAATGATAAGAATTATAATGATCTGTATGGGTTTTTTCGTCAATTTTTTAAACTAAATTCTATACAAAACACATTCAAAAAATTATATTGTCTAGAAAATAAAATAAGATATTGATATTTGGTTTTCGCTTTCGTAGGGTATTTTATAATTTAGTCTTCTGTTTATTCCAATGGAAATAATCAAATTCCAAGCCTTTTTATGGGTGGGAGCGCTATATACCATCTTAATTAACACACCTTGGATTTTTTTTTTTTTTCCAACTCCGTAAGTATAGGGCGTTTTGACTGATATTTATTTCCGTGACAGATCTAGGTACAGGGTTAAGGGTGTCATAGCACCCCCAACTTTGAGAAAATTTACAATTTAGTCTTGAAATTTTGAGATATTTTTAGTTAAAACCTTTAAATATCTTTCTGAACCAAAAAAATTCTTAGATTTTATCTTTTAAATAATATGATTATTTTAATTTATCCCTTTTATTAAGATTTTATTGAAAAATTCACAAAAAAAAACATTTAAATTCTCCTAATTCCTCTCTAAACACTATCAGTAAGCATGTTTTTTTTAAAAAAAATTGGTATAGAAAATGATAAGAATTAGAATGATTTTTAAGAGTTTTTTTCGTGAATTTCTCAACTAAATGCTAATAAAAGAAACACAAGAAATCTTATTATTTAGAAGTAAATCAGATACCAATATTAGTTTTCAGTAGAATATTTTACAATCTAGTCTTTAAATTTTGAAATATTTTTAGTTACAACCTTGAAATTAAGACTCGTTTTGTTTTAAAAAAAAAATGTGTTTTGCATATTCGAAAATTATGTATTATATATATAGTCTTAAAATTTGTTATTTTATTTTCAAGATTATCCTAATCTTTTTTGTGTCGACGCTTCTTTTTTTAAAAGTTCTAGTTCCGCCCTTATTTTACTCCATTAATTCCATTTATTTTTTAATCAAATAACATATGAGTTGAACATGTTTCAAAATATCACTATAGATTGTTCAAAAAACATTAAAAAAAATAACCATCAAGATATCAATCCTGGACAATTTTATAATATTTCGATATTATTTAAGGAAAACTCACGACTTGCATGTGATATTTAACCGCTAAATTCAATAAAATGCTTCAGTTAATTTTTTTCCAAGCACAATTCTAACAATCAAATTTAGCACTCTCCTTGAAATTTCCGATTACAGATACATAAAAAGTAAAAAGCTTCTACAAAATCTTTTGCATTAAAGGCTTTCATAAAATTATTCTATAGTCGTGGCTAATAGTAATATGGTTTTTCATAAAGGTTAAATTTGTATAAACCGCGGCGGAAATCGATACTATAATGGGTCTAAATACAAGCATTTAGAGCATTAGCACCGTGCTAGGTAATGTTTAAATGTCAATTTTTTCAAGAAATTACTATATATTGCCGAATTTAAATTGAATTTGTAAACCGTTTAGAGTTGACTAATAAACGTTGTTAACATCCTCCTTCCTGAATTGCGAATTTTTAACTAATAAAGAATCTTTCTCCTTTAAATATTTGATCCAACGAGCATTAAATTTATGGATAAGTTATGAAAAAGACCCTATAGTTAGGTGCACGGGAACACTCGAACTTTCATTTTTAAAAAATTACACTTTGTACCATATAATTTTAATATTTGTTTAAGAAACAATCTGTATTATAATTTTATTCTCAATGTCAAATTTTTGGATAAAAAACGTTCAAATTATTACAAGTTTGTAGGTATTTTTTTAATGCTCATGATGCCCTTTGGAAAAGTATTTTAATCTAAAAAAAATCATTTTAAAACAACTAAATTCAACATGATATTAAAAATTTAATATAGAATACCAAAAATTCAATTCAAAACACCTAAAATTCAAATTCAAATATCTCCAAATCCAGATCATAACGCCCAAAATAATGTGAACATTTTGCTTGTTTGAATTTGATAACAAGCTTATTCTCTTTTTCTATTTGTTTCTACAAAATTCATGTTTTTTTGTCATCCTCAAGCTCCAATTCTTTGTTTAGTGCTTTTATTTTTTCAAGAGCTTGAGTTACATATGTTAACGTTACCTCCATATTCTCCGATACAGTTCCAAACATTTCTAGTTTCTTTTTTAGTTTCAGCACTTCGTGTAACTAACTTTTTTAGAATAGTTCCTACAGCAATAGCAAAAATTATCAATAAAACTAAAGTAAAACATAATTTTATTATTTATTTACTATTTAAAATATTATTTACACTCATAAATCAATATTTCTTTCACTATTTATTGTATTTTTCAACACTTTGGTCCTCAATTTTTTTATACTTTTTTTTTCAATTTCAAACTTTAATTGTATTGTGATTTGATTCCATTTTGTTTCAGTGTTTTTTTATTAAATATTTTTATTATTTAAAATTTACTACTTTAATTTATCTTTTTTTTTTAATTCTCTTTATTTTTTAAATTTCTAACTTTAATTATATTGTGATTTGATCCCATTTTGTTTTACAGCTTTTTTTAATTATTTTTATTATTTAAAATATACTACTTTAATTTGTCATTTTTTAAAAATTCTCATCTAATTAATTTATATTTATATTTACTGAAAATTTTGATTTATTTTTCTATATATATGAATTTTGGAATAAATTTTTAGAACATGATTATTTTTTTTTATGAAAAATAGATTTAGATAATTTTTAAATTATAGTGGCATGATTAATATATATAATTTATCTTATATACTTTTTTAGATTCAAAGTGTATTTCAAATAATTTTTTCTCAAATTTTTTATATTATTTTAAATTTACTACATCAATTTATCATTTTTTTTTCAATTTGAAACTTTTGATTATATTGTGATTTGATCCCATTTTGTTTTAGTGTTTTTTGTTAATTATTTTTATTACTTAAAATTTTCTACTTTAATTTTTTATTTTTATTTTTAAATTGTCATCCAATTAGTTTAAAATTATATTTACTAACAGTTTTGATTTATTTTTCTATATGTATGAATTTTGAAATAAAATTTTAGAGCATGATTATTAATTTTTTTGAAAAATAGATTTAGATCATTTTTAAATTATAGTAACGGGATTAATATTTATAATTTGTCTGAAATACATTTTTAGATTAAAAGTGTTTTTCAAATAATTTTTTCTCGGTTTTTTCTATGTTATTTAAAATTTACTACATTAATTTGTCATTTTTGTTTTTAAATTCTCTTCTTTTTTTTTTTTTTAATTTCAAACTTTGATTGTATTGCGATTTGATCCCATTTTGTTTTAGTGTTTTTTGTTAATTATTTTTATTATATAAAATTTACTAATTTAATTTGTCATTTTTTTTAAATTCTCATTCAATTAATTTAAAATTATATTTACCGACAATTCATTGTATTTTTTAACACTTTGGTCCTCAATTTTTCTATACTTTTTTTTTCAATTTCAAAATTTAATTATATTGTAATTTGATCTCATTTTGTTTTAATGTTTTTTGTTAAATATTTTTATTATTTAAAATTTAATACCTTAATTTTTTATTTTTTAAAAAATTCCCTTTATTTTTTCAATTTCAAACTTTAATTATATTGTGATTTGGTCCAATTTTGTTTTAAAGTTTTTTTTAATTATTTTAATTATTTAAAATGTACTGCTTTAATTTATCTTTTTTTTTAAATCCCATCTAATTAATTTAAAATTATATTTACTGACAATTTTTATTTTCTTTTATGTATATATGAATTTTGGAATACATTTTTAGAACATGATTATTATTTCTTTTGAAAAATACATTTAGATAATTTTTAAATTATAGTGGTATGATTAATATATTTAATTTGTTTGATATACCTTTTTAGATTAAAAGTGTATTTCAAATAATTTTTTTCATTTTTTATATTATTTTCAATTTACTACATTATATTGTCATTTTTTTAAATTCTCTCTCTCTCTTTTTCAATTTCAAATTTTGATTATATTGTGATTTGGTCCCATTTTGTTTTAGTGTTTTTTGTTAATTATTTTTATTATTTAAAATTTACTACTTTAATTTGTCATTTTCTTTTAAACTCGTCATCCAATTAATTTAAAATTATATTTATCGACAGTTTTGATTTATATTTCTATATGTATGGATTTTTTAATAAAATTTTAGAACATGATTGCTATTTTTTTAAAAAAATAAATTTAGATAATTTTTAAATTATAGCGGCATGATTAATATATATAATTTTTCTAAAATATATTTTTAGATTAAAAGTGTTTTTCAAATAATTTTTTTCGGTTTTTTTTTATGCTATTTAAAATTTACTACATTAATTTGTGATTTTTTTAAAATTTTCTTTTTTTTTTTTTCAATTTCAAACTTTGATTATATTCCGATTTAATCCCATTTTGTTTTAGTGTTTTTTGTTAATTTTTTTTTATTATTTAAAATTTACTAATTTAATTTGTCATTTTTTTAAAATTCTCATTCAATTAATTTAAAATTATATTTACTGATAATTTTGATTTATTTTTCTATATGTATGGATTTTGGAATAAATTTTTAAAACATGATTATTTTTTCTTTTGAAAAATATATTTAGATAACTTTTAAATTATAGTAGTATGGTATGTGTGTGTGTGTGTGTGTGTGTGTGTGTGTGTGTATATATATATATATATAATTTGTCTAAAATACATTTTTAGATTAAAAGTGTATTTCAAATAATTTTTTCTTGATTTGTTTTTCAAAAAAACTCAAATTAATTAATTAATAGTTGAAAGTCAAATTAATATAGTTTTTATTTTAATATTATTCATTCTTTCGTGAATAAATATATAAAAATTAAATTTATATTTTTTCAAAAACCGATATTCTCATCGAGATTAAATAAAAAAATTATTTTTTTAATTCTATGTAAGCTTTTAATAATTGTTATTTATGTTTTTTGACACGATCTTATGAAGTACTAAAGCTTTTTTAAAAAAATTTATTTAATTTTATTTTTAGTTAATAATCCATAGATTAACAAGGATAAATTCTTTTTCTAAAGGAAATTTATGAAAACAAAAATAGTTAAATACAAAATTGTTTATTCAAAAATTATAAATAATTTTTTTCACTTTTGATTTTGTATATTTTTATAGATTTACATCGTAAAACAGTACTATCAAACTAAAATGATTTATCTAAATAATTTTATAGATTTGATCTAATCTACGAGTATAGCTCGAGCTTAAAAACCGAGTAAATGTTATATTTTGAATAGAAAAATCTGACTCCCAACGGTTTAATGTGTTGTTTGTTAAGAACATGTATGTATCAATGGCTTTGAGAAATGAAAATTGAAATTATGCTTTCTTTAAGAATATGTTTGTGTTAGTTACAAAACCCTAGAGGTTTAATGCTTGCTTGTGCTTTGTCAAATGAAAAGTTAGCTAAAGCAAAACAAGGAACAAACGACCAAATTAAAATGGAAGTCCAAAGAAAATGAGACTGAAGAGGATAATCTAGTCCCTTTCGGCTTTTGTGTGACATGAATCACGTGGTCCGTGAATTTTCGTTTTCTGTTTAACCAATAAGAAACAAAAAGCATGTATTACTGAACAAAAAAACAAACAAAAAGGAACAAATCAGAGTCTAATCAAATGAGGAAAAACTTCGTGTTGATGCAAGCAAGGATTAGAAGATACTTTGACAGTTATCTCATCATTCAAAACCTCGAAGCAAATTGTGCCAGATTGCTGAAGGCCAACACAATGATTTATAAATCACTATCATTGGCAAATAAAAACTTAGATCAACATTGATTAAATCCTAATTTTTTAATTGGTTTTATTCGACACAACAAATTAAGGCATAAACAAACAAATTCTCTTGAAAAAGTCAACATTAAAAATTTGGATTTTTTTTCAAAGTTTCAAATTTCACGTAAAAAACCTTAAAGTCTCAAAAGAAAAAAAATTTAACTAGTTTTACTAAAACACAACAAATTAAAAGATATACAAGTTGTTTTGAAGCAAACATTAAACAATTTTAAAATTAGAGTTTTTTTTTAAAGTTTTTGATTATAGATGAAAAAACCTTCAAAACATCCAAATTTTTTATGGGTTTTGTTCGAAATTAAATGAATGTAATGTTAATTCTAATATTTTAAGGACTAAATATATTTATGTTACAAAAAATTAAAAATAAGTTATATTTTTTCACTTTGTTTCAACTTTGAACCGTTCTCGATTCGTTTTTAATTCAATCATAAATAACAATAAAAAATAGAAAATTTTTTTGATTTCAATAGATTTGGTTGTAAATTTAATTAAGTGTTTGATTATGTTTCTCTCTTTCTAAAGAGAGAGAGAGAGAAAATATAATTTGGGAATGAAATGAGTTTTGTTTTAGCTGACATGAGTTCTAATTATATCATATAAATGTATTGTTAGTATTTCATAATTTACCATGCTGAAAATTCATCATAACAAAAAAAGATATAAAGTGAATTTAAAAAAAAAATTCAAAGTATTCCTGCGAACTAACTGTAAAGTGTTTTGAATTAGAGTAATTTTACTCTAATTCTATTGGTGGATCATGTCATGGTTCACAAAAGAAGCCAATGCACTCGTGGTCCGTAACTACCACTCTTTCAGATTTTAGCGAAGCTTAATTTTCAATTTTGGAAAAAGGGGGGTTCCCATTAAAAAAAACTTACGATCCAGAGTAGAAGGATAAAAATGCCTTCGAATAAATTAACAAAGCAAATTAATGCATCTTTTTGGCATTTCTTTTTTCACATAGAATATGTTCCATTTATTTAATTGTTTGATCTCTTCGTTTATCAGAGGGAGAAGCTTGCTTGCTTCGTTTGTATTTGTAACTAAAAAAATAGAAGTTAAAAAAATATTTGATTTATTTTGTCAGAGTTTTGAAGAAAAAAAGGAAAACATATACACTATAAGATTGGTTTTCTAGGGTTTAAAATATCTTTTTTTTTCCAAACAAAATTAACTAATTATTTCCTTCCTTCGTCCTGATTTCCTTCTCAAAACAGTTACGAGGGACTATAAACCAAATGTTGAGTGATTTTATTAGTTTTTTTTTTTTTTTCAATTCATCCAATGATATGTAGGTTTAAACTACATAACAGGAACAATTTTTTTTTCCATAATTTAATAATTAAATCACTAAAATTCAAATCTATTTTATTAAAAAGAATTACTTAATATACAACTGTTAGGTCATATCAATTCACATAAATGATTTTATAAATTAAGTCAACTATAATTAATTGGAATGGATGAATTATACAACGATTATTATTATTGTTTTTATTTAAAAATACTACTTGTTTAAACTTGATTGTGCTTTTTTTTTCTTTAGAAACAAATTGGCTTTATTTTGATATTATGTACAGATTCTTTTTCTTAAAAAAAAGTGAAAATACAAATTTTTAAAAATATAACAACTTTTTACCCAACGCTACATTTATAACCATTTCACTTGTTAGTACAACACAAAAATACCAAATAACCCCACCACAACATCACTCTTTTTTTTTTTTCCTTAAAAATCTGCTAACCAACACGCCTTGATGAGCGACCGTTGGGAGTATTGATCGACACAAATAACCAAGTCTTCGTAAATTCAACATTTTCAATTGTCGGGTCAATATTTGGCGCGGTCAAAACCACAGAAACGAAATTAGAAGTCCATAAACACAGGCAACCATGCACTGCTGTCTTTTCTGAATTCTAATCGGGGACAATAAACCCTAAATCCCCGAATCTAGAAACCCTAATTCAATTCTCAAATCCAAAACTAAACCCTAAACCTCTCCTCTCCAATGGCATCTTCAGAGATCGAGATAGTTTCATCAGAATCCAAACCAATCCCAAACGATGTCTCAGTCAACGTGATCGATGTTTTCTCTGCTTCTGCTTATGGTGATTTCGTTAAATTACGCAAATTTGTCGAAGAAGAAAAGGCTTCTCTTTCCACACCTGACGGTAATGGTTATTACGCTCTTCAGTGGGCGTCTCTCAACAATTTCCCTGATATTGTCCAGTACATAGTCGAGGTAATGCACATGTAAAGTTTTTTTTTCCATTAAATTTGATTTAATTAATCCATTTTTCGAGTACGTGTAAAGTGTTTAATTGCATTTGATTGGTTTTTATTTATTTATTATTTTTTGTAATTGCATTTGTTTGTTGTTGAAGCATGGGGGTGATGTGAACGCAACCGATAATGTGAGGCAAACAGCATTGCATTGGGCGGCGGTTAGAGGTTCAATTGCCGTGGCAGATGTGCTTTTGCAGAATGGAGGGCGAGTGGAAGCAGCTGATGTTAATGGGTATCGGGTAAATGCTTTATATTTTGTTATCTTCTTGTTCTAGTAAACCTGTTTGGCTGATATGCTTGTGACTGATTTTAGTATCCTTAATTTGTTTTTTTTTTTTTCGGATGATTTTAATGTACGCCAATTTGTTCTGTAGGCAGTTCATGTTGCTGCTCAATATGGACAAACCGGTTTCTTGAATCACATCGTGGCAAAATATCATGCTGATTTTGATGCACCTGATAACGAAGGGAGGAGTCCTCTCCATTGGTATGTAAGGATATGGTGTAGGGAGTTTCTATTTAAAACCCACAGCTATTTGTTAAGGTGATGGATGTCAGTGATATAGAATTAGTTGGATATATATATATATATAAACTGATAAATGAAGTTCTGTCTGTAACTGAAATTCTAGTTTTGCAAATGGAATTTTTACTGTCTCAAAGAGATAATCAAGTTTTAACGGTACTTCATGACTAGTGACTCTCCATTGGTATGTAAGGATATGGTGTAGGGAGTTTCTATTTAAAACCCACAGCTATTTGTTACGGTGATGGATGTCAGTGATATAGAATTAGTTGGATATATATATATATATATAAACTGATAAATGAAGTTCTGTTTGTAACTGAAATTCTAGTTTTGCAAATGGAATTTTTACTGTCTCAAAGAGATAATCAAGTTTTAACGGTACTTCATGACTAGTGACTTAGAGTTAAGATGTTACGTGGACTAGATTTCGACTGAATATGTGTGAATTAGTGGAAAGCTTATTTTTTTGTTGTAATGAACCAGGGCTGCATATAAGGGTTATGCTGATACAATTAGACTACTACTATTTCGAGATGCATACCAAGGGAGACAAGATAGAGAAGGTACTGCTAGAACACATTAGAATCCTATCTAGCAATTATTAATTCTTCATCTCCTTTGGAATTCACATGTTATTGGCTGTGACCATTTCCATTTTAGTCAGTTGTATCATGCTTGCTCTCTAAAATTTCTTACTATTACCTTCGAGGACAATCTGTGAACTTAACAAATATTATTTGTTCAAGTATATCATGGTGGAAAAATACTTTGGGACACGAGAAAAATGAAAAGGTGAACAAATAATTCAAGTCAGCAGGAGCATGTTCTTGAGAAGGAAAACAGGAACCAATTACATATTCATCTTGACAGGTGCAACGACTATAATTTTACCATGGATCATTCAGTGGTTTATTATATATGGTATTTAAAGGATAAACCAATATGTGGATCCTTTAATAAATTTATTTGGAGAAGAGTTTGCAAGATTCTTATAGACAAACACATTTGTAGTCTGCTATGCTCATAGGTTGAAGACCGCTGCAATAATTCCCTGGCTCTTCTCATCTACGGGAGGGGTAGGGGTGACTAAGTCAAATGACATATTTCTGTCATATGAAGTCGCTGAAGTTTCTGGAACTATCATTCCACTCAAGCTTTAGTGTTAGGTTTTTGGTTCTTGGTATATTTTCATAGTTTAATATTTGATGGTATAGGGTATATGGAATCAAGGCTGTTGGTAGTGTGGTATAAAAATACCATACCACTTTTTTTCTTGATGAATAAAAACTATGCCTCATTTTGATGAAGATAATCAGCTCCTGTTAAATCCCTTAGAATTGCATCTCATCTTCGCATTTTCAATTTTATTACTCTTGACTAAAGACCCATGCCGGTGTTGAATGTCCAATTCTATCAGGTTGTACCCCTTTGCACTGGGCTGCATCAACAGGAAATATAGAGGCATGTACTGTGCTTGTACATGCTGGTACAAAGCAGGAACTTGCTGTGAAAGATAAAGCTGGTTTTACTCCTGCTCAGATTGCATCTGATAAAGGTCATCGGCATGTCGCCCTTTTCCTTGTACGTACTTAATGTTTATGGCACCATCAGTAGAATAGCAAGTGGATAACTTTAAACCAATACATGTCAATGTGAGCATTGATAGGGATGTGAGAACCGATGGTCTACTAGTTAGGGCCGTCCTGGATTTTTTGTGGTGAATATTAGGAGATAGTTTCCTGTGATTTGCTATGGTGAAAGCTGGAAGAAGTTGCTGGGATTTGCTTGCACTTGGTTGTCATAAGTCTTATCCCTCTTAAATATTAACCTTTGCATGTTACTGAACTGAACTAATATGCAGAACTTTTTGTTAAGGTGAATGTTGGGAATAAATTGCTGGGATTTGCTTGCACTTGGTTGTCATGAGTCTGAAACCTCTTAAATATCAACTTAATCATGTTACTAAACAATACATATAGGCTCTAGCAGTTGAAAAAGTTGTGCTGTGTTGCATTATACTGGAGGAATCCTCCAGTAGCTTCTTGAGAGCTAATCTAGTAGTTTAATTTGTTGCACATCCTCCTTTGATTGCGGGAAAATAAAATAGATATAGTGGTTCTCTAACAGGATACTATGCATACTAAGACATTTTTCATTATTTTATTGAGAGGAAGTACTGGACATCTTTGAAAGTGTCTTGTGCATATGGTCTGATTACTGTATTTGCATGGACCAAAACAAGCCATACATCATTTTCCCATCAGGTGAGATCATGTCATGTCTATTGCATTTTGACATTTGGTGGTGCCGTTACATACCATTTTGAAGAAAAGGCAAGCAGAAATGGAAGAATTCACCACCATTCTGAGTAATACAAATTTTGTCATGAAAGTACCTTTTTTCGGTACAGTGGGTGGGAATGTGTTGTATTACAATTAGACTTTATATTTGCACAGGTGCCCTGAATATGATTATTTAATACAATGTTTCATTTGCTGTAGCTATTGAATTGGTATGCCTTAAAAACTTTCCTTTTGTTTGTGTTAAATTCAGTGCTGTTAATCAATTGCTGTCTGATATTTAGTTTAATTATCTTTATAAAGATTACATCTTTAGAGTATCTATATATTCAAAAATAATGGAAAAGAAACAGTATTGATATTTTTTTTATGATTTTATTCAGTCCAATGCACAGCGGGCGCAAAGCAACCACTGGAAAGATAAAATTTGCAGTGGCAAGATGCGAGACGTCGGTTTTGCTCCAATCTTATTGTCCATTTTACTCATTCTCATCTTCCTCTTCATCAACTCAGTTATTGCAGGTAAGTGACATGTTGTGCATCGAATTTTCTTTATAGTGATGAGCAGAGATCCCTTTGTAATCATGATTCACCATACTGTCATGATAGCTCCAAACCTTCCGAAGGTAACTGCTGCTGTTGGACTTTGGGGATGGACTGCTATTTCTCTAGCATTTGTTTCAATTATTATGCTCTACAGGTGTAGTAGGTAATTTCTTTCTCTGCTGCCAAAACTGGTTGGACTTTGTTCGGCACGTTTTTTTCTTTCTTGGATTTTGTAGAGCCATAAAAACTTTAGGCGGTTTTGACTTTTGCTGTTGATACCTTGAACTTGGTTTCCTTCCCAATGCAGTCAGCATTCAAGTCTTGCTTTCTATCTCCTTCTGTTTCTCCTCCTTCTCCTCCTCCATTTTGCTTTTCCTTGTATCTGTTTTAGGGAGACCTCTGGCTTTAAAACTAAAGTTCCCACAAGGCTAGTGCTGGATATGAATGTCCATCATTATTCTGCTTCATTTGATGAATTTCACTGTGGTTTAGCATATGCAGTCAGTTGGTTGTTGACCATAGATTTATTTTGGCTTTATTTGACTGGATGTGCCTTAGAAATGTATCAACTAGTCTTTCAAATGATTAAAGATCAATGAAATAATGTCTTAGCACAATGATTGAAGGCAAAGATAAAAGATCCTGGAACAAGAAACTATGTTACTTATGAGACATGCTAATATTTTGGAAGCCACAAGTCTTGTCATACTATGAACTGAAATGCTTATGCAGTGCCTACTTGGCACTATTCTTGGTGAAGTTTACTAGTCTGGAAAAAAAAAATCTTTTAGATGGTGATACTGAACTTTCTAGATCCATTGTGCCTATCTGCCTGCACAGATCCACCATTTTAGATGGTGATGCTGAACTTTTGGGATCCATTGTGCCTATCTACCTGCAAGATCCTCTGCTTTTTTTCACATTCTGCAGATCAGATCTTTGAGTTCACATGATGTTATTCACAAAATATATTCTGCTCAATCAACCATTTGCTGAAGCATCAACCTGAAGTTTGCTGCAGACTGTCTATTTAATTATCCTGTTTAAAAGCTAATTTGTAGTTTACCCTTGCATCTGCTAGTTTAAATTTGTGGCGTTACAACGTGTACAAACTTTTCATAAAATGTGCTGCAACCTTTAACTTCCTCAAAAATTTTATTCCAGAAATTACTTTTTTTCATGTTTTCTCACTGCAGTAAAGACCCGGGTTATATCAAAAGACTTGGAGATTTGAGTAAAGATACTGATTCGGAGGTATGCATTATCTCTGTTTAGTTGTTTCTGTCACCATTCATATTGTGCAGTGTTCCTTCTACTGAAGGTTTGTTACTTGTTTATGGTAACTGTTATCAAGGCAAGAATTTGAATTCCCCTGCTGTGCCTTTTCTTTCCTCTTTTGGTGGGTTGGTCCAATTGATCAATGGTTATCAGGATTATGGTCATAGCTGTCAAAATTCACATCTAGGTTCATCTTACCAAATTTTTCTTTTCATACTCTCTTTGCTGATCATTACCTGACATTTTGCAGGATCCCTTGCTGAGTATTGATTTGAACAACTCCTCAGTGTGGATTGGAAATTGGTCTCAACTTTGCCCTACATGCAAGGTCAAGTAATTGATTTTGCAATAATATTGAAGATAATACTTATTAATGTTTACTTCCCCCAATTCGTTTTGCTCAAGAGAGTTGAGATGCTGTCTTCGCTAAAGAAGTATACGTTCAATTAACTTTCAGATAATAAGACCTGTTCGTTCTAAGCACTGCCCCACATGCAAGCGCTGCATAGAACAGTTTGACCATCATTGCCCATGGATATCTAATTGTGTCGGCAAGGTGAGAAATTGAGCTTTACTGTTTCAGGCTTGTTAATTATGGCATATAATGTGGATTCATGGGGATGTCTTTTATTGGAATCTCTGATTGGAATATTTGGTTTCTCTGTTTAATGGTGTCATTTTCTTGGCTATCTATAATAACTATATAATCACCTGATGTCCGGGAGTTATCTTAATACAGCCTTTGGAAATGAAACCGTTGATGTCACTTAACTCATTATACACATTTTTTGACATCACTATTCTGCAATCCAAAGATGACATGGAAGTCTATGCAACTTCTGTTCTATGGTGTATGCCTATATTCAGTCATTATTATCTCTTCTGGTAGTTATTAGAAGAATTTCTTAATGTTTTCTCTCCATTTGATAGATTAGTGGCTAATCAGTAAGCAAGATGCTATGCATTGCTTTGCTACAGAAGTATAATTTCTTTTTTGTCTTTTCATCAGCTCATCTGTTTTCATCATCATGTATTTTGCAGAGGAACAAACGTGACTTTTTCATCTTTTTATGCTTGGGAGTTTCGACATCCTCTCTTTCTGCTATCATTGCAGTTCAAAGTGCGTGGGTTGCTAAAAATTTACTTTTTAGTTTTTTCCTGTTGGGTGAAAGGCAACCAATCTCCAATTTCTTGTATTCTTTGATTTTGGTCTGCTGTAACTTTTATTTCATGGTGGAGCTAGTGACTGCCTTTTCTCTGTCATGACAGGAGTTTGGACAGCTGCAGAGTCATTGCATATTGAAGAAAGTTGGATTCATTATGTGGTAGTTAATCATCCTGGTGTTGTTGCATTTTTGGTTTTGGACATGATCATTTTTATTGCTGCCACAACTTTAACAACAGCTCAGGCATCTCAGGTAATTGACTAAAACCCTGTTTCCCAGCTAAGTTTCTTCAGCCTTTGGCATTGGGTGATTAGTTGGCTCTTTGTAGTGGGCTAATTCACTGACTTCTCACCACATGTTGCTGCTTTTGCCATGGGCTTAAGACATGTTGTCAGTTGCATTTTTCAATTGCCACTGTTGCTCAAAGTTTTGGCAGACATAATAGTTATACCATTGTGGATCCTACAATTAGTTTGGGATAAGGCTTTGTTAAATTTTATTTTATTTTATTTTTGTGTGTTTTTGGGTGGGGAGGAGATGAATTGATTATTGCTCTTGCATTATTTGAAACTAGTTGAGGTGGAAGGTTTAAGTATAATGGAGGCTTTCATGGATGTTTTATATACAGATAGCTCGGAATATCACAACTAATGAACTTGCAAATGCTATTCGCTATCGATATCTTCACAGTCCAGATGGACGTTTTCGAAACCCCTATAACCATGGATGCCGAAAGAATTGTTCAGATTTCCTTATTCAGGGTTACACAAACGATGATGAAATTGCTTGGCCACCATTGCAGCAGGTTGCCAGTTAGCAGTAATGCAAAGGTCCCCAGCAGGTTGCCAGTTAGCAGTAATGCAAAGGTCCCCAGCAGGTTGCCAGTCAAGGCTAACTTTTGCAAGTAAGATTGGTTTTGTTCTCTTGGTTTCTGATGAAGCTCGGCGAAACTATCATTGCAGACACCAAGATCCTTTTTCAGCTGTAGCTGTTATTCATGTTGTTATATAAATTTGGTGATATAGATGATAGAATGTACATTCAATGTCATGAAGTAGATAAAGAAATGAAAAACTGCCCATTTTCTTTTTATCTTTTTGCCATCTTATGTCTTTGACTAACCTAGGCGTTCTTTATACTAGGACAAGTATGAACCTGGAGTCTACTGCACTAACAAATCTAACTGTTTTAGTTTAGTGAACCTGAACCTGGTCCATCTAATAAACTTGGGCAAGTATGTCGCAGAGATTAAAGCATGCCCTCACTCAAATGCATCTTCATTTGTACATTTATGCTAATAGAACCTTGCCAGTAGAATTGATTGGACAACATGCAACGGTAAAGCTTTCAAAAAAGTGCGACAAGCAATATAGAAGTTTCAGAGAGTATCAAATAAAATATGGAAATCAAGGTAAGAAAATGAAAGAGAATTATCTCTGTCTAATAGAGTTCATCCTCATCTTTTTTATGATATCCAAGTCAATAGAGAGCTCCAATCAAGAAAGTGAAGGTCTTTTTATACAGAGATGAAGAGTGCTGCCAGTGTCCCCTCCAAGTGTTTCTGTTTAGTTCATTCAGTTACCCAAGGCTGCTGTACTTTATAACAATTAAGCACAATTCTGACCAGCTTGTGATCACTAGTCCTGGCATCAAAACCAAAATCTTACTGCCCTTTCATTCTTCAATTTTCAATTCATTGCTGTTTATGATTTCCATCAGAAACTCCCACTTCCTTTTGTTCTTCATGGCAATGTTGGTGGGCATGGAAATAAAAGTGGGGTGACTAATTAAATAGCCCCAAGACTTGGAAACACACTTGAATCAGAGTGATTTAACGAGCAACCTTAGCAGTATTCCAAAATTTTCACAAGAAATATAGCAACAGCTTGACATTTTCTTCCTCCTACTCTAGATCCTGCCTTTTGGTAGAAATCTTAGTTTCTTCGGACGCCTATTCTCTGCCAAGTCTTCTTGCTTTCCTTACAATATGTTAAATGCGGTCTTCACTCATCGATAGGATGTCTGTATACTTGGATTCGCATGTTACAAACAACTGATGTTGAAACATATCTGATCAGTTGTTATAATATTATTATACTTACATACCAAAATGAAAGGGTGTTTCACTGCAGCGTAGATTTGGGTCTTTTTGACTCAAAACCACGTCCTTTCTCAAAAATTGATTTTTGTCAATTTGTCAATTTTCTCAAAAATTGATGTTGAAACATATCTCCGACCGCCTTTTGTTTTTTTAAGTAGAATGACCGACTAAACAGATTTGACAGCAAGGAGGAATTTTTCCCAACACATCGAACGCCACCACCCTACCTAACGAAGCCAAGCCTGCACCTGCGTTAGCTTACCATCTCATAATAAAACATGCCCCATCAAGTGAACCATAATTTGGAAGAAAAAACAAAGGAAAAAAAATCACATCTGTAATAAAGCACTACATGAGGAATTGATTTGGTGCAGATTTATTTATTTATTTCAAATAATCAAGAATCCACAGCTAAGCATATTTGGCACTGCATTAAATCATATGCACGAAAGAGAGCACTCAGGAGATAATGTCAGATGCAGAAACTTAAGCATGGACTCGCAGACTTTACACAACTTTGAAATGCAGAGAAAAAAAAAGAAAAACACCAAAGTTTTAATGTCAGTAATTTGATCACACCTTTACGGTAAACCACCTCTTAGATATCCCACGAGAATCAAGTACATCTTAAATGTTATTGAGCTTTGGATCCATTGGCATAATTACGAACTCACTTTTTTTCACTTAGAAGTACTATTTGCTTTACCTGGCAGGGTGGAATTATAACAGAATGGGCCCTCCATTGAAACTAATATGGATTGGCGAGCCACTAACAGCAATTCAAATTGTACAAAGTACTAAGGGAAAGTGGTCACATGGTAGCAAAACATCAGCTCTGTTGGATTCCACTAGGCCAAGTTTGATTCTTCACAGGGCTCAGAATTGCTTCAACTTCTGCTAACGTTTCCTGATCCTTGCCAAACGTAGCAAGTTCCGTAGCAGCAGAAACATTCTCCTCAACCTGATCATCAAAGGAGGTATATCACTCGCACAATTACGGTGTCAATGGGGTTGACATGGACTTTGTCATCATTACCATGGTAAACATGATAAATCAGACACTGTATGTTAAAAAAAGTAATAGTTCAACCAGCTAGCTGCTCTTCACCTCTAAATTACCTGTTCAGCTTTTGAATTGGATGCTTTAAGCCTTTAAGGAAACTGTGCATTTGTAAATGTACAATAGCTAACTTACAAACAGATGATGTTACAAACAATAGAGCATGTTGTACATGGACCCAGATTTACATGTCTGTGCAAATAAAAATCTCTGCCAGGGGAAAAGATTGAGCAACATACAATGGTAAAGCTCAAAAAGTGCGACAAATGTAATAGAAAATTAACACTTGTATATCAAAGAAAAAAAGGAAATGAAGAAAATGGAGGAGTACCTGTCTAGCAGAGTTCATGCCAACCAGCACGGATGAAACATCCTTATTTGACAAACTGTATTGCATTGCTATCTTGGAAATATTCTTCCCCTTCTCTTTACAGAAGGCCGCAGCAGCTTGACATGCAGACTGGGGAAGAAATAAGCATATGATAACGATCCATTAATTTCGCAAAAATGTAAACCATCTCCAAGCAAGCAAGCATATCCAAGATGTTTAAGATGAGATGCATGGTATGAAAGACACTAGAGACAGCCCATAAATATCTTATTTGTATTATCTGATCAGGATCCATAACAGGTGGATTAGAAATTTGCCTGAACCAATGTGCTCGATTAGATCCATATCGAACAGCTTAATTTCAGATTTTGGCACTTCAAAAGGCATTCTTGATCCCATCACATGACATGAATGCTAGTTGTAATCCTTGAGAATTCATTTAATAGACATTTATATGTTATGTTACAATTGGTTTTTCCTTACATGACTTGTGACTCTGTTATCCTAGCAAGAGTTCAAGGTTGATCATAGCTCCTAAAGATAAATCCAGCTTTTTGTCACATAATTGGTGAACTTTTTCTCTCTCTATATCTCTCTCTCCTTTTGAGATTGACATAAAATTGACGAGCTTAAACTGAACAGTGTGAATAAGAAGGGGTGGATGGTGGTGCACCATGTGTGTGTGTGCACAGATATGTGTTTACAACACTCAACAAACTTAAACACAATTCTTGTTGAGATAATATGTACCGGACAAGTTAGCTGGCAACATTTGCTTTGATTGTTTGAGCTAAGCAGTAATGTGATAAAGAGTACAGATGATATGGAAGGGAAACATCATAAGCTTATTTAAGGGGAAATGGCGGACCTTCAGTTCAAGAGAAGCTGGATGCCACTCCGGGGGGCCATTCTCAGTCAGTAACCCCATAGCAAGTGGAGAGGCAGTAATTACACCTACACCTTTGCTCTTCAAGTAAGGCAATAAATCCCCCAATGTAGAATCATTAATACTGTAGTGGCAATAAGACAGGATAACATCAACCGTGCCAGGCGGCACTCGATCAAGAACATATGTAAATACACCTAACGGCAGCCCAGTTATACCGATAAAACGAATCTTCCCTGCTTCCTTTAGTTTCTGTAGCGCAGGGATTGTTTCATTCACTATCTGTCATTAAAACCAAACCAGCCAACTCATTCTTTGCCATCACATCCTCACATTTTCTAACAAAATTTAAACTTTAGAATAAAAATAAAGATGAAAAAGTGCAGATGTTGCAAACCCAGGCAGGAAAATAAAATAAAATAAACCTGATCAAGAGACCCAAATTCAATATCATGGCATTGAAGTATATCAACATAATCCAACTGCAATCTTGCCAAGCTCTCATCAATACTCCTAGTCACTCTCTCAGCACTAAAATCAAAGCCCTCCACATACCTTCCACACTTTGTGGAGACAATATATTCATTTCTAGGAACTCCTAGAGCTTTAAGTCCCTTACCAAGCATCTTCTCTGACAACGTCCCTCCATAATACCTATCAAATTGCAGCATCAAACATTAATTAGGAAATAGAAAGAAACGGTGACAATTGAAAGACTATTGGAAAGAAAGGAAAGAGGCATACGGAGAGGTGTCGAAGAAATTGATGCCAAGGCGGAAGGCTTCGCGCACAGAGGAGATTGCGTCGTGTTCAGAGACAGGGCCGAAGACGCTGCCAAGTGGGGAAGCTCCAAAGCCGACGCAGCTAAGTTTGAGACCCGTATTTCCCAAGGGTCGGAGCTCCAGGTTTGGGTGTGGAGATGCCATCTGATTGATTTGTTTGGTAATGTTTGGAAATGGGTGAGAAAGAAAAAGAAGGGAAGTGTGGAAGGTGGACGGTACAGATCCTATCAAGGAGTAAAGTACAATAGGACTGGTGAAGTCAAGTAGGTCCCTTTTCCTCCATTCAACAATTGCCCACACATATGGATGGATTCTCTAATGATTTTGTTTCTAATTTTATTGTTTTTTGTTTTTACCGAGGAATAGGATGAGTTTAGTTTGAGCTTGTTTGCTTCCTCCTTTGCCATCTCCCTTCGCTTCTTTCTGTCTATGTTCTTTTATTACACTGGATTAGTAGCTCCGATAATTTGTCTTAGGAATGGTCAAGAAAAATTTTAAATTGTACTTAAAATAGAAACAAGAAGGGTGATTGGTGTTGTTAATCTTTTTTCAAGTTAGACTATACCCAAAATTCAGTTAAGACAGGAGTCTTTGTTTGTTGATACTGTGTTTATGTTCAGTTTTATTCTTTGTTTCATAAGGATCCTCGTTTACTTCTCAAACTTAAATTTTCATGTTTTAACTTCTGTTTTGGAACTTCGAAGGATAAGATTTGGTTTGAATTTTATTGAATATAAAATTCATTATCAATTTCTTTGTTGCAACATAAATAAATTCAAGGATTCAATTCAAAATGAAACAATGCAAAAGATTTTATCAAATAGCTAAATTTTATAATGTATGGCTATTATGATGAAGTCTATCTATATTTCAGAAACAATAAATAAATTATCCATGTTCACATTTGGCGTCGCATGTTATATGATAATTTATTATTATTATTAACTAGTGCAAGGTATCATATTTCTTCAAGTTGTCCTCCAATTCTCAATTAGGCGCGAATCAAAATAAATTTCCAATTAAGTCCCCAATCTGTTGGGCATAACCCAATCAATCCTTGCCTTAAAACTTTTTCCGGATAAGAGATCCAATTAAAAAATTGTTTCGTTTGGGAAACTAATAGTTTGTTGTCCTTTTTAATTATAAGAATTTTCCATGCCCATTTGTCAATATCTAACTAACTCTCTTTTTTCTTTTTTCTTTTTTTATCAACAATGTCAATTATTTTCAATTACACAAAAAAGAGGTTGAGCCCAAATTTACAAGCACAAAGGCTAGAAAAGGGATTCTACTAGTCCAGAAAGAAATTTTCTTCATCTCCCACTAAAACCAACCTAAGACGAGCCAAGCAGCTCCATCGTGGCGCATGAGCACACACGCCATCCAATAGTGCAACAATTGTCTCGCACACCAAGGGTGAGCATTCGAATATCGATTGGAGAGTCATACATGGAACCACCTGGAAAAAACTCACTGAGCCGCAAACACTCTATCTCGCCTTCTCTAATATAGCCACCGAACGACACCAACATAACCACTTGGTAGAGAGGGGAGGGAGAATTGGCACTTATTCGCTCTCGACCGCCTCTAAACTCAACGGAAAAAAAAATTTCAAATACTCTCGCTGCTGGAGCTTCAGCCATCATCCAATCCAAATAATCACCACCCACGGACCCACTGGTCCAAACAGAACATAAAAGAAAAAAACAGCCCGAAACTACAGAAGATTTTGTCTTAAATATCCGATCATGCGTTTTATATGAAAATAAACATACTAAATGCTACAAATTTTATCTTTTAAATGCAAAACAAATCTAATTTTATATATTTTCTTTATATAAGAGTTAATATTTTTAAAATCTGCTCAAACAATACGCTTTCTCTATCAAGCTAATTTAACCAATTATTGCAGCTGCACGATTGGTCTGGATTAAAATCCATCAAATCATTGTCTTAAAATGAGGAGCACAAACTCATCGAATACTTACATGAACATATTGATAGATACTAAATAGTTTTTTTTTTAGTGAAACTTGAAAGATATTCTAGTACTCCGGAAAAAGCAGAAGTAGGAGTCTATTAAAAACGGCTTAGGCATATATATATATATATATATATATATTGGGATAGGGATATAGTTGTTGGATAAAGACTCAAATTTATGGCCCTCGTTAACAATTAAGGTTGCGTTTGTTTAACGAAACACATTTTTCATAGAAAAATCAATTTCTAAAGAAGCTATTTTTTATGAAATTATTTTTCAAAAAAAATATTTTTTATCATTTGACAATTACATGAAAAAACTACTAAAAAATATATTCCAGCGTTTGTTTGATACGGAAAATTAAAATAAAAAAAACAGTATGTGATTGTCATATTAACAAGTTTTGAAATTTTTTTTTCAAAAATGCATATTCATAATTTCACAATATAAGATACATTTAAAAAATTTTATTAAATTTTCATAAATACTAACTCTAAAATTTCAATTCAAAAAAATAAAATGTTCTTTTTTAACCATCAAACAAATTCATCAAAATTACTTAGGACAAAATCAAGTCAATATTCACGTTTAGTAAAAAAAAAATTTAAGTAATCCTAGCATTGTTATTTTGGTAACTCAATTAAGAATTTTTTTTTTTGAAATTGAACGGATAATTTAATCTAAAAAATAATTTTATAAATTATAAGTTATCGTTTGTAGATAATTATTCATTTGGTTTCAAAAGATTAATATTAGAATAATTTGTAACTACTTATTTACTATAATTACCAATAAAATTTTACAACTGATTAAAATTATAAATTATTGATTTAGTTGCAAATGAATAGTATTGAAAAAATAATATATTTATTAATGAATTAATTAATTTTATTTTTTTTTTACAAAAAATTACAGTCTTGTAATAATCATTTTCAATCATTTAAGTCTAGTGTAAGTGGTGTTTGAGATAATAGTAAAAAAATAAAGATAAATTATTAAAATATTTATAATAAAGATAATTTAAGGTGTAAAAATGATTTTTAAGAATATTTAATCTATCTATAAATCAAAAAATCAAATATTAGTAGAAATAGAGAAAAAATAATTAAATAATAAATAATAATTAACAAGGAATAATTAAAAATTAATTTGATATATTTGAAATAAAAAAAGATAGAGAAAAAAACTCGTAAAAAATATATCGAGATAAAGGTAAATAACACGGGAGCGAGACAACGCATGAGAAGGAAAATATTTTCCTCTTTTTAAATTGGGAAAGCATTTTTCTAAAAATGCTCTATCATTTTTTGTTGACTTTTTTTCCTAAACATGAAACAAGCACCGAAAAATAAAAATCTTTCTCCAAACAAATACAGGTTGGAAAACATGGTCGGAGGAACCTTTGCCCTTTATGTTTTTTTTTTTTTTTAAAGAAAAAAATCGAGATCTTATCCAAAAAAAAAAAAAAGCTGCAATTCATCAAAAACAAATCTCAGCAGAAAAATCTTTTTCCCCGTTAATCATACTTAGGCTCCGTTTATTTCATTTAAAATAACTTGTAATTGGAAATATTTTATGTGAAAAATATTTTTTTGAAAAATATATTATTTGGTTAGGTTAATAAAAATTTTCTTTTCTCTGCCTTCTCTTTTCATGTTGTTATGGATTTAAATATAAAGTCATAATTTTCTGTTTTTTTTTCCTCTTCTCTACATTCTCTATCAGCATTTATTCCCTCTTTTCGTCATCTTTGTTGAAACTTTTCTTGTTTTTATCATCTTTTTTATTCACATCATTTTCATCATCTCCTTTTCTAATAAAAATTTTCTTTTTAATTTTTTAATTCTATCTCTTCACCTTTTGATATTGTCAATCTTTGTTTATTGAGTTTTTTTATTCTATTATCTTTAAAAACTTACCCTTTAGGAATAAGGTTATAAAGTCTGTAATTATTGCTAGTTTTTTTTTTAACTGTATTGTTTTTGTTGGTTAATTAGTAACAAAATTTATATCCAGATAGTCTATCATCAAAATATAGATCTAATGGTGATTGAATTATGCATATTAAATTATTGGTTATATAAAAAAAGATATATTTATTTATTGTATTATTTTTCTAAAATTCAGTTTATGATATGCTTCAATTATTTTAAGAATTCAAATGAAATATCTTGTTACCATACAACTTCATTTTCACTGGCAATTGCTCGTCTCGGCAAGCAAATCAAGTTTTTGCAATCATATAAAATTTAAATTTTTTATTTCAGTACTTCTTTATTTTATATTTTTTTTATCCTCCTTCCTTGTTTCAAATCATTTTTCTTTTCCGAAAGATTGTTATACTTTTAATGCATTCACAATGATGTATTATTATCTTTATCAATAAAGTACGGTTTTGATAAAAAAAGAAAAAATATATTTGAAAATAATTAGTTGGTGTTTGATTTATATGAAAAATAAGTATTAAAATGAAAAAGACAAGAATTAAATAGTGGTGGCCCAAGGCAAATTTGACGGTAAACGACCAAAAATATTACATTCAAATTTCAAAACCGGTAAAGATTAGTAGCCGACAGACAAGATTTTTTGGAAGAAACTAGGAGGAAACCTCCTATCCCATCTCGACAAAACAGTACCTGCTTCGCTTTGTGCTCTTTCGTGGCCCATTTTATTTGCAGTCTCTCTCCAACTAAACTGAGGGTAACGCAAAATGCAATCCGCCTATGTATGTCAATGAACGGATACTCCACGTATTAATTTAATTTTTTATTTTATTTATTAAAAAAATAAATTATTTATTATCAATTAAGAAACCAATATATAAATCTTTGTTCAATCCATAAATAATATTAATTAAATACCTATTAAATTTAATCTGTCAAAAATATTTATTTTAATTCTTATAATTTTTAAGAAAAGGTTTTTTATCCTTAATTTCTTCTTCTTCTTTTTTTGGCATTTTAATCATTTATTTATTATTTTTTTATCCTTAATTTTTTTTAAAAAATATTTTAATTCTTAATTTTTAAATTTTATGCAATTAGATTTTTATATGTTAATAAAAAATTTAATAAATTAATAGATATTAATAAATAAATAATGAATACTCATATCCTGAAACCATATTAATAAATATACATTTTTTATCCTTAATTATTTTAATATTTATTAAATATTTTTAATGAATATTTATTTATTCAGCCGACTAAAATAAATATTCGTTCCGCCCTCTAAAACTCAACTTCTGGATTCTACAGTCATATATTTCCTTGGGCCTCACTTTCCCTCACTAACACCGTCTACTAATTGAGTAGCGGCCCAACAGTAAGGGCCCAACAGGAAGGTCAACTACTCCAGCTTTACTCAATGAAAAAGGCATCCATCCTTGGTTAAATGCCACGGTCTTGTTGAAACTACAAAACTTTGCTTGTATTTCCTCAGATTTGCCAATTTCATTAGCTTGAACATGACAATAGATTTTTCAAAACTAAAACTGATCAAGCGGTAGCTTTGCTCTGTGATCTTGGTGCCTTGTTTTATTATTATTTTTTTAAAGTAATTTGCGTACGGATTGAGATTAACTCTTCTTTTTTCAAAAGATTTTAAAAAATATATTGTTAATATCGGCTTAATATATTTTTTCTAGTTATGGATGAATTCAAAAAAATTGAAAACAAATTAAACATGATTTAATACATAAAATATTCTCTCCTTTTTCAAGAATGTATGCTAATAGTTTTCATTAGTTAATGAGAAAACCCGTAATCTAATCCCGTGCTGAAGACACGTTTTCAAAAACAAGCAAGCAACGACTAATTCGTTGTTGTACATACACTCAAGAATACTAACAATGTTTTCTTCTTCTTTTTTTTCCTTCAAACAGATGTCTCGTTAATTATAATTAATTCTCACATAAAGGACAAAAAAGGACAAACGAGAGGGGTTTGTTAAAGTAGAAGACCTAAGAAGGTTCTCAGTCATTTTCACAGGTTGGCGATTGCAAGCAGAAATCAAAACCTACTAAACCCCATAGCCATTATCCAATATTCGTTCCCAGCATTTTAAGGCCTGGACTCAACCATTGATCCACTGGGAATCAGAAGAAAAAGATTTATGCAGATCCATTTCCAGATCAATCAAGATTATCCACATTTAATTATTCATTTATTAAATGATGTCGCTCTTAATTAATGCTTAAGTTTTTATTTTAATCACGTAATTAACCTGTCAAAAATTTTCATTACTTGTTGGCACATCTTTAGGAGGCTATGGGTCCTCGCTTGTAATCATGAGCCTCGAGGTGTTCACTATTCGGTTAAAATCGAAATATCGAACCGTATCGAATCGAATTAACAATTTCGGTTCGGTTTTTTTTTTTCAAATTCGGTTTTCACTGAAAATCGAATTAGTTTTTTTTTTAAAAAAAACACATACCCAAACTCTTTTAAAAAAAAAAAAATCAAAGAGGCACCTATTGGTTTAACTAAAAGAACAATAGCTTTAATGATTTTTTTTCTACTTAAAATAGAAATATTTTTCATTAATTATTTATTGAAATAAAAAATAATTGATTATATTATATTGACTCATAAAAAAAATAAAAAAAAGACTATGATAAAGAAATTCTTTATAAAAAGACAAATTTATGTATGGATGAATTCTAAAACCTCATGAAAAAAATTGTCTCCTTGTATTAAAATTAGCACAAACATAAATTAAAAATTGGATTTTTCATATTATATATTCAACAATAAAATATGCACAAAATAAATAGATTAAAAAAAATAAAAAATTAATAAAAAACCAATTATAGCGTAATTGAAAAAATAATAAGAAGTTCAACTAATTTAGTTTATAATATAAATAGAAACATATTTATTATAAAAAAATAATAATAATCATACATAATTTTCTTATAAAATCAAATGTGAAATATGCAATATTTGATTATGCAAGTTTGATATTTTTTAAAAGCAAAATAATTCGATTTTTAGAAGAAAAATGCAACAAAAAAAACGGTTTTTAACTGAAAACCGAACCGAAAAATAGAACATCAATTCTGTTCGGTTTTAGTTTTTATTTTAGCTAATTTAATTAATCAAAAATCAAAAAAAATACTAAAATCGAATCGAAAAACCGAATAATCACCGCTACATAAGCTAACCTATTTATTGGTCGGCTTTTGTCGGGCCGCACCCGCCCAACAGCAAATAGGATATGAACGCAAGCAAAAGGTGTCGTTACCTTATTGGCTTTAACAATTCTAAAAGTCAAAGGAAAGTTCCGAATTGAACCATCCGTACATTATTACAATTTTTAAACAAATAATCACACGTTTCCGCCACATGGGTTCAAAACTGTTTACATGATTACTCAATGGTCAACTGTCCGTGTATAAGTAAATATTTTTAAGTTTTATTGATGTTAATTTTTTTTTAATGAATATAATGTTACAATTTATAAGCATGCTTTTAAAGACTACAATAACGGCTGATATTTTAAATGAAATGAAATTCAAGTCCTTTCATACTCTACCGAAATCAGTTTTAGCAGCACAAGTACAATAACTAATTAATGTTCAATTGCATTAAAATAAAATTAGTGTATGAAATGCAACAAAATTAACATGGGTTTTATTGGGAAAAAAAAATCAAATTAGGCTTTGCTAGTTTGGTAGAGACATGGCTAGAGGACACATCCCTTTGAATCAATGGTTTCGCGTTAGCAAACCTTGAATGAAAATTTTCAACGACTAGTTGGTAATCTATATCCTAAAGTCCGCAAAACAACAAAAGACGATTTGTAATAGATTAATTCGGTTTGTCAGCAAAAACGACCCACTAAGTTAAAATATTCCAAGTTGCCATCAAAATATTAAATTAATACAGCCTATGATGTTCAAAATTCCATGGCCTTTTCACATCTGCCATTACAAGAGGTGGACACGCTATAAAAGTTGAATTAAGAGGGCAGGGGACTCTCCTGCTTTAGTGGAAGTTTGACGTAGAAAGCTTGGTAAGCAGTTATTAATGAAGGGGGAGTTCATGCTACTGTAAATTTATGGCAATTCCTGATCTTTTGGAATCATTATTTTTATGTGATCAGATCGTCAGCTTCTTAATTACAATGCTGATATGATTGTAGTTCCGAACTACCTGTATCTTATAAGTATAGGCTAGAGCAGATTATTTAAACTAGAAATTATTGTTCTTAATTTACTTCTTTTGCTTGTGTGATCTGATTTATGATGGTTAATTTGTTTTTTTTCTTTTTCTTTTTTTAATTGGATGTGTGTATGATTAATTGATAAGCACTAGCTTATTCCTGTTTTGGTGATCTCCCCACCATTTTTAATTCTCTTCCATTCTCTTTCTCATCATCAGAAAGGAGCTTCTTCCATGGAGACTTCATCAATTACAGCTTTAAGTGAACTGGTAAGAGCACTTGTGATGATTATTGAACTGTTATTGTCAGACATAGGAATCTGGAAGACTTCTGTTAGTAATTCAGGAACTTGTCACGAATTGAAATGTAATATTACTGATTCACAGGGAATGGAGGATCCAAGCTTCACCAACCAGTGGTACATGAACTCTCTTGATGATATCAACTTATTACCATTAGCTGCTGCATTTGGAGAGAACATACACCAGCCTTTCTCTCACCAAAATTTCAACCTCAAAACCTCCATGGATAGCAGTAATCTTGCTATTAGACCAACAAAACAATCGAAAACTGATCATTTGTCAAGCCCACAATCAGCTTTTTCTCCTAACATTCTCTCCTTTGTCAATTCCAACCACACAAATCAAATGGGATTCGTGAAGCCTAAAGAGGAGGCGGTATGTTCTAAAATCGTCGACAGCCTCCCTTCTGATATGTTAGTTTCTCAAGCTTCCTATGGGAACCAAAACTATGTGTTCAAGGCCTGCCAAGGACACAAGAGAAGTAGCACAAACGGTGCTAGACTTTCTCAAAGTCAAGATCACATTATAGCAGAACGGAAGCGGCGAGAGAAGCTCAGTCAACGATTCATAGCTTTATCTGCTGTAGTTCCTGGCCTAAAGAAGGTATCAAATTTAGCTAGATCTTCCTTTCATTAATTACCATTCCTGACAGCTTTATATTTCCAATCTTGGCATCTGGGATAACTTATGTATGTGAGTGTTGTTTTTTAGATGGACAAAGCTTCGGTTCTAGGAGATGCTATCAAGTACTTGAAACAACTGCAAGAGAAAGTTAAAATACTTGAGGAGCAAACAAAAAGGAAAACCATGGAATCAGTGGTCATTGTGAAGAAATCTCATATCTATGTTGATGAGGGTGATGACAACTCTTACTCGGATGAGTCTAAAGGCCCTATTCATGAAACTTTGCCAGAGATGGAAGCAAGATTCTGTGACAAACATGTTCTCATAAGAATTCACTGTGAAAAAAGGAAAGGAGTTTTGGAGAAAACAGTAGCTGAAATCGAGAAACTCCACTTAACAGTAATCAATAGCAGTGTTCTGGCATTTGGGACTTCTGCTCTTCATGTTACTATTATTGCACAGGTTATAGTTCTCTCTTTGCCTTATCTGGTCCTTTTACACACCTAGTCTAACATGTGTATGTATGTGTCTTCTCCTCTCTCAAATACTAATAAAAGCCACACATCTACTTCTTGCAGATGGATATAGACTTCAACATGTCAGTGAAGGATCTAGTGAAGACTTTACGCTCAGCTTTCCAGTATTTCATGTGAAAAGAAGCTCCAAGTTCAGTTCATAGGATGGTCTAATTAGTTTCTTTGCTGCTGCTGGAAACTTTGAAGACACCATAAATAATCAGCATATATCTATATATACAGTTCAAAGCTATTTTCTAAAAGGAGACGAGGCCTGTAATGCTCCACCACTTTTGATCCATACCTATAAGCTTGTTTGCTGCGAGGTCTGTTTTGCAGGAGGGTTTTTTTTCTTTTTCCTAATCAGTTTTTGCATGGTCAAAATCTTAGCCATGTTCAAGACCTATCTGTTACAAAAGAGTGATCTCACAGCTTGTTAGGCTTTTTTTAGTGGGAGGTTGATTATTCAACTGAACATGTTTAAACCCTTTCATACCAAAGGTGGTTGAACAGGAAAGATGGTTTTTTAGGTGTGTAGACAACAGGCCTTTTGTTGTTGTAGTTTGTTTGGTCAATGTTTGAAGTGGCAGTCTGTAGCCTCTTTTTCCTTTGTAATGTTCCGATTATGTTTTTTAACAATTTGGTTCGCTTTAATGGAATCATTTACTATAATAACTTTCCATCTGCCCATGAACATGATTATCACACACACATTCTGGCTGGATGGATGGTCACTGAATTTTCTCGTGTGTCTTGAAATTACCATGTGGATTTTCAGCTTCTATATATCATAGAGCAAAATGGGTTAGTCATGGTCTGATTGGCTGAGCTCCGATTGCATGAAAAAAAGTCAACTTCTCGTACCTGGCTTTATCTTAAATTGAATGGATCAAAGGAATTTTAATTTCCATCTTATGCTCACTCTGTTCTCTAGAGTTACTTGAATGCTGCGAATACCTTATGGAACCAACACATTGCCAGCGAACATGTTGACAAACTTTTCGGATTAGTGAGTTGGGAATTTAGGGGGGCAAGTGGAAGAATATCCAATTTAAATCGAGGTGCGAGAAGGAATAGCACTCAAACACAAAAACAATCTATATTTGAGATTTTAGAAGATTATATTAGACCTCAAAAAAAAAATATATATAAAAAAATAGTCCCGTTTATATTTAATTTATTTGGAGGTTCAATTGACACTTCAAAAAATTGCCTCTATCATGAATCCATGATTACTTAATACAGAATGTCTGAACTTGATGGATGTGCTCCAACTGTAAAATGATTGTTTTGATAAATCAAAATTTAATTCTCATTATCTAAATATAACTAATTATAATTATTTTTTAATAATACTACTTTTAAACTGGTTTGGCTTGAAAGACATAAAAAATTAGATGTTTTATGGCTCTGAATTAATTTGACAGAGAATAGATTTGATTTCGATTCATTTGAAAATTTATTCAAATATATATAATCTTTTAAGATTCTTCAACAGCCAGAATCATAAAAAAGAAATTGCATTGGGATTAAATTATTGCAGGATTAAATACTATCCATTTTTGCCTAGATGCTGCCTGCCCAGGATATAAGGTTAGGGCAGAGTTGAATTGATGCATATGCTCTCAGCCTTTGTCAAGTTTTTCCGGATCGAGTGCCTTAAACTAATTAAATGACTATTTGGTGCATGATTCATGATTGATACAGCTCCAAAAAATGAGCTGTTTTGGTGCTTGATGATGACTTCAAGAATTGACACTCCCCTAAAAAGTTTTTGCATCATAGTCGCATAGACAGTAATAAATTTGGTATAGTTGTCGTCCAAGACCTGTATGTGACTAATCTAATATTTGTTGAATTATTGAGAGGAATCATTATATTTTCCTTAGTCCCCACAAAAGATTGTGATCTTCCTATGGCTTCATCTCTCTCTGTCACATTGAAGATAGCTATAAAATTAATTGTTAATTTCCAATAAAAATCAAAATCCAAGAATTAAAATTCAAGCTGTATAGATAGAAATTAAAAAACATAAACATGACTTAGTGGTACTAGGCTTGAGTTAATTTCGTCTAAGAAGAAATTTAACGATCGATCAAAAATTAAATATATTCTGAAACCATTTTAAGCAAAAAAGTGATTAATTTAGTATGAACTCGTCTATAAATACCTCATCGCTTATAAATATATATTAAAAAAAATGCAGAAACATAGCTTGCAAAATTAGTTTCCAAAGCGACAAACCTATCAACAAGATTTCACATCTTATAGTACGATGATATATAAATGCCATGGCCTTAGTATCACATGATTGGGTTATCGTTTAATATTTGATATTGTATACGGTGTTCATTTGGTAGCCAAGAAAGCAGATGAAGAGAAGACAACGAGTCCTTTCTTATCACTAGTCGCTAATTAATATCAAACCATGGTCCAGGGCCATTTGCTAAACCAATTGGACTTTAGCACTACTTCAACTTTTCTTCATGATTTGTTGATGAAGCAAAGCTATACTACGTAATAGGCTTTGAGAATTTGCTCTGATAACGATACTGGAGAGTTCCCTCTGAAAAAGGTCAGCGTTTTCTTCAGCTGAAAGCTACGTTCATGAAGTTATATTATTTCAATTATTAATTAATACCCACTTTTTTTCCCACATATTTATCTACGATTTTTCAAACCAGTACCTATATCTTGTTGATTGCTTCAGTTTTAAGCTGATAAAGGTTATGTGCATTAGGGATTGAAAATTCGAGCCTGAAATCTGGAAGAACAGATATGTTCATTAGCTGGTTGCTCGATGTTTGAGTCGTTCTGTTTTCAGAATCTTACCTGGGATATACGAGTTCCAGAAATGATTAAAGAAAAGCTAACGTAACGTAATGGATGGCAGTGAGATGTGACTAGTTGAATTTTGTGATTCGATTATTATAATTGGGAAGTGCCACTATCTTTCTTTATGGACAAGCTTAATTAATTATATGTTGTTTAAGCAGAGAAGTCTATCGATCTATAAAAAGGCTATGAAACGATGTATAATGGATGAAAAAACATATGAAGCACAAGTGGGTGTGCCAAATAAAAAATTAAGCCATCTCCTGGAATCCTGGGATCGTTAATCTGTTTCATATTTTCAGCATTTTGGAACCCTTTCCAGTTTCCACCACCAGCTTACCGCGTTGAGTACGGACAGACTGGACCAACAAATGTACCTAAATTGACTTATGGAGCCCGGCCCACATTTTAGAAGCCAACAAATTGTCACTTTAACATCCATTTTTTGCTACAACTTCATATGTATTTGCCAATTCAAACAATTACTTATGGCTGATGAACCAAGTTTCAAAAGCGCCGTTGACCTTGAAATACAAAGTGACATTTGTCCCTCTGCTTTCTTATTCCTTTCCGTCCATTACCAACATGATTAATTAGTTTTACCTAGTGGACAGAATTCTACATGCCAGATTTGTTGGAAGTGAGGACGAATACGATACTCCCACCTGTTTCGCGCGGAGAAAATGGGGGAACAAGAGATTGAACGCAATGCAGCTATGGCATGTACGTGGCAGATATTGGCACCGACTGTGAGGAGCCGATCTTGAATGTTTGACCGAACACGTGTGCGTGTGAGATACCGTACCCCCTTTGATTGTGGTCGTGGTGGTCTAAAGTCTAAGCCCACGAACGCCATCGAATTAATAGTACTTGGGAAGAAACAAGGAAAGGGCAGTGCTAGCGGCAACCACTTTATTCCTTTGAACAATTAATTAACAAAGGTTTTACTTTCTTCTACTTCTTGGGAAAATGGTTTTCTTTCTGATGGGTTACCCAATGACTTTTCACATTCATCTGATGAGTATGTTAATTAAGACCTCCATTGATTACGTGGATGAAAAACTTAGAAAACTAGATTCTAAACTTGCAGAGGAGGCATATTCTAACTTGCAGTGGAGTTTATATCTTAAGGTAATAAATAGAAATGACAATGGAAAGGATATGAATCATGCATGTGTTTTATTTGGCTAATAAATATGTATTAAAAACATATAATGGATATTGAAATAAATAAGAATAAAAATAATGTATAGCTGATATATGATTTTAAAATTTGAGTATTCAATGTATACCCTACTAATATTTACAAATTTATTTTAATTTTTTTAAACATGTAGAGATCTAATTATGTAAACAGACTAGAATATTTTTTCTTAAAACTTTGATAACAACAAACCTTATAAATAAAGGATCAAAATGTTAAAAAATAATTTTAAGGGTCAAAATAACTTTTTTTAAAATAAAACATTAATAAATATACCAAAACAAAATTTTGGCTTTAAGTAAAAAAATTGTTTTGATCCTTATTTTGTAATTATTTTTATTTTAGTCATTGAAGTTTGATCATATTTATTTTTGTCTCTATAATAACATTTTTTTGGCTTTTAGGGAAACTTTCTATTCTGTTTTCATCCTTATTTTATGATCTTTCTTAATTTTAGTCATAAAATTTTTATCATGTTCGATTTTTATCTTTACTATATTAAAAACAAATACAACTTTACTATCTTAAGTTAGTTATTTTAATGACTTCTTTTTTCTATTTTGATTTGAGTTTATGATTTTTTTTAATTTATTTTGGTTATTAAAATTTGATCATGCTTGATTTTTGTTTGTATCTTATACATAATGAATTTTTTAGTCTTATTGTTCATAAGTTTTTTTTTACTTATAGTGAAAGTTTTTTTTTTTTTTAATCTAGGTCCTTGTTTTATAATCATTACTTTATTTTGATCATTTAACTTTTTTCATGTGTAATTTTTATCTCTATCTTTTGTCAAATGGGTTTTGAAATATTTCAATTTCATCCCTATTTGATAAAAAAAATGTCCTTTTGTTTTAGGTGGTCTTTCTCTATCTCATTAAAAAAATATAAATGAAGAACATATGGTAAAAATTAATCATCCAAAATTTTAAAAGCTGTCACATCATTATTTTAATTATAAGTTATTGCACATATTTTTAATAAAATATATGTTTATATCAAACAATATCTAATTAGTAACACTATATTATTTAACTTTGCAAGTTTTTCTTTTACCCAACCCCGCAACAACACATGGAATATATGCTTTTGTTCGACT